GCTTAATGTGTCAGCTTAATGTGTCAGCTGAATGTGTCGGCTGAATGTGTCTGCTTAATGTGTCAGCTGAATGTGTCTGCTTAATGTGTCTGCTTAATGTGTCAGCTTAATGTGTCAGCTGAATGTGTCTGCTTAATGTGTCTGCTTAATGTGTCAGCTGAATGTGTCTGCTTAATGTGTCAGCTTAATGTGTCAGCTGAATGTGTCGGCTGAATGTGTCAGCTTAATGTGTCTGCTTAATGTGTCAGCTTAATGTGTCTGCTTAATGTGTCAGCTGAATGTGTCTGCTTAATGTGTCAGCTTAATGTGTCAGCTGAATGTGTCAGCTTAATGTGTCTGCTTAATGTGTCAGCTTAATGTGGGAGGAAATCCCGAAGTGATGCAGGTCCCAGAAGTTTTCCACTATAATGATGCAATCATAGGTTTCTGGTGTGCCCAAGGGACGCAACTCTGAACAGCGAAATGGGGTGCCTTAGATGACAGGGCGACATGCCCCCATCACGCCATTAGCATACCATGGCTGCAGGAAGTAAATCTGGGGATCTCCAACAACATACAAGTATTCATGAACAGATGACTTTTATTTCAGACTTAATGGAACAATCACCAGTAATACTTGTATCACCAAGCAATGATACATGGATAGAGTTAGACCATACATGGCATCCTTCTAACCTTGCCGGCACACAGAACTCCTGCAATAACACTTCAATGATCAAATCATTTCACATAAACTGCCGGTGCTTGTTAACCTTTACTTCACACACTGATGTGCAGTTTTAATAAGCACTTACAATTGTGCTTCTTTGGTTCAAAGTAAACAAAAGTTTATGAATAACACTTTCTTCCTTATACTGTAATAGTGACAGATCCTTACCTGTTGTCAAGCAAGACTGTAGTAAAGTAGAAAAGAAGTTATTATCCATAAACTTTGGTGTACTTTGTCATCCATAAACTTCTAAGAAACTGACTATCAGACAATGCTTTGGTTCATGCGGTCATCCTTGTGCTGGCAATATCTTGGTTTCCAGCTCCAAAGTAAGTCAGGAATGGTTACCATGGAAACATCGGATAACAATGTCAGATTGGACTATATTTCTGGTAGATGGCAGACACTAAACACAAATTGTGAAATATAAACTCATTGGAATATTTACTACTTTAGGTAGCATGGTTAAACAATAATTACCGAAACAAATAAATCTTTGTGACCGGACATGTGATCAAAACATTGATCCTCAGTTTCTACCTTTAAGCAATGTAGAAATCTCAGTGAACACAGTAAACAGTGAAGTACAGGCTGTTCCAGAACATGTTGACATCTAACTGACATCTAAACAATGGATACATACTTAGAACCGCCTCCCTGTCGAGTTGATAAAGCATCTGCCAGATGTACGCAGGGCTGGTGGTTTGATCCCCAGTGTGTCATACCAATAGACATTAAAAAATGGTACATGTTGTTTCCCTGCCTGGTGCTCAGCATTAAGGGGCTAAAACATGGACTGGTCGCCTCGGAGTAAGTATACTGTGTCTGATTTGGGTATCCATGTTAAATCACGTCATGGTATCTCAGTGGGCTAACACTGAGACTGGAATAAGTCAGTACTAGTACAAGCGGCCACACATGCCCATCACTATATTTGTGGAATGATCTTGAACGCGACGTTAAATCTCATTTCACAGCACTTACACAGATCTCCCCTACAACTGTTATTTCTACGGACATCTAAAATATTCTCCCTTCCTAATGCATTCTTTCATAAGCACAATATATATTGAATAGAATGTATAAAATAGTCAACAATTTATGGCAACCTTTAAAATGTCGGTACGTCTATCACATGGAATATGTAGACGCTGAGAGGAACACAGAGATGTGCACGATTAGTTAACAGCAGTGATCCCAGAGGAAAGACTGGAGGGAAACGTTGGAGATTGTTCTCCCACAGGAAGAAGGAATGGCTAGCAGACCATTGCAACAAATATAATCATTTATCAAAATGAATTATCAAGAACAATAATCTTTACTGAACAAAACAGTTAAGGATCATGAATATTTAAGGTGATATTTATTTGTTGTGACTGAGCTCACAATTTCATAAAGATATCCCCCATATTTATGTTCCCTTACTTTTGTTCAGTGTATGTAGCATGAGCACCATATTGTCCCAGTAGTTTACCGTAAGTGTGGTAGTTTATACCCGTGGAATGACGTTATTTGGGAGCAGCTTGTGCTGTGGCCACCTGGAGATTCAGGCTTCAGCTAGACATTGTCTTCCTACACATAGCTCCCTGCATAGACACTACGGCATGCTATCTACAGCTACACATAGCTCCCTGCATGGACACTACGGCATGCTATCTACAGCTACACATAGCTCCCTGCATGGACACTACGGCATGCTATCTACAGCTACACATAGCTCCCTGCATGGACACTACAGCATGCTATCTACAGCTACACATAGCTCCCTGCATAGACACTACGGCATGCTATCTACAGCTACACATCATACAAGGTACAAACTGACTAAAAGCTTAAACAGAATCAACAGATTTGGGATAAAAATAAATATGGTTATAATAATTAAAATAATTTTTCATCTGTATAAAAATGTTTGATTTTACTTGCATATACATCAACAGTTGAAATGGCAATGTTATGTTCGTACCCACCAGAAGTTGGGTGAGTCGAGGAATGAACAAGGAACAAGATACGTGAACAGAGACAATGCTTGACACACGTACTGGTGGGGCTGAGTGGTGGGTTTGCTGACACGCCATTTTAGACACATCCTTCTGATAGGACACACATCCTGCCGGCAGAACACATGTTGATTAAAGACACATCCTTCCTAACAGAAGACACATCCTGCTGACAGAAGACACATCCTGCTGACAGGAGACACATCCTGCTGACAGGAGACACATCCTGCCGACAGAAGACACATCCTGCTGACAGAAGACACATCCTGCTGACAGAACACACATCCTGCTGACAGGAGACACATCCTGCCGACAGAACACACATCCTGCTGACAGAACACACATCCTGCTGACAGAAGACACATCCTGCTGACAGAACACACATCCTGCTGACAGAACACACATCCTGCCGACAGAACACACATCCTGCCGACAGAACACACATCCTGCTGACAGAACACACATCCTGCTGACAGGAGACACATCCTGCTGACAGAACACACATCCTGCTGACAAAAGACACATCTCGCTGACAGGAGACACATCCTGCCGACAGAACACACATCCTGCTGACAGAACACACATCCTGCTGACAGAACACACATCCTGCCGACAGAACACACATCCTGCCGACAGAACACACATCCTGCTGACAGAACACACATCCTGCTAACAACAGTTAACAGCCCCCTCTGATGTGTTCAGTTAATACATTTTCCTCGGCTCTCAGCTGATATGTAACAATGTTTTCCAGGAAACTGTGAAGTCAATATCTGACAACTTTTCTATCCCACTGGCAGAATAGAATCAAAACATCACATATAGCCCCATAATGAGGTGTGGGTCTCTTTCTAAACCAGGACTTCTCTGGAGTTGTGCACAACTGGTTATGTGACCAAAATGACAGAGACCTCCTTAATGTTGATGAAGTTGGCCATCTGGTATTTTGTCATTGTCTTCATCTAGGTTATATGGACTGCATACAAAGCTGGTAGATATCTATTAATATCTGCGAAAGTCAGCAACCCAAATACATACCAGTCACATACTGCTTATGTGGACTTTAACCTGCCTTATATTGACTAATTTTTCTGACAAGGTAAATGGACATGCTCCTTGGGTAGGAGTTTTCCATAAACAAACTTCTGTCCTCGAACCACAAAGTGTAAAGTGATGACAGATACAGGCTCCCTGTCTAACAGGCCAAGTGTCAGTGTGTCAACCACCTGTATTCCTTATATCCTTAGATCTGTAGGATTTATTTTTTGAGGCCCGTGAAGATCCGGGGTAGAATAGGTTTTCAGCAACCCATGCTTGCCGTAAAAGTAAACTATGCTTGTCGTAAGAGGCGACTAGCGGGATCGGATGGTCATGCACACTGACTTGGTTGATGTATGTCATCGCATCCCATCTGCATGGATCGATGTTCACGATGTCAATCACTGGATCGTCTGGTCCAGACTTGATTATTTACAAATTGCCGTCATATAGCTGGAATATTGCTGAGCGCGGCATTAAACAACAAACAAACAAATACAGCTTGTTGTTTGAGGAATGAGGATATTGGGAGGACAAATGTCTGAAGCTGATGATTGTTTTTGATTTGTAAAAATGGCAATTGTTGCCTCACATGGACAAGATATATACATTGCTATCTCATTTAGATCCTCTTCACGTATAGTTGTAAAAATGTCCCACCTGACCGTAATACATGACAGATCTCATCTGTGCTGTTTCAGTTTAAAATACCTTGGGTGCCTGGACTAAACTGTGGATGTACACTGCTGGGAGAGAAGACACTAGGAGAGCATCAGCTGCTTACTATCACTTGTAAACAGACTCCCCAACCACACGTCATACGGTGATCTCTCTGTGACACATGGAAACAATGGAAGCTGATGCTGCTAGCTGTTCTAGTCAATGTTCTGAAGCAGAATGAAGGTAGTCCTGTGACCATCATTTGACAGTCATCCCAGCAAATGTTGAGACATCAAGCAGCTGTGTGGTGAGAATGGAGCAGCTGTGTGGTGAGAATGGAGCAGCTGTGTGGTGAGAATGGAGCAGCCGTGTGGTGAGAATGGAGCAGCCGTGTGGTGAGAATGGAGCAGCTGTGCGGTGAGAATGGAGCATCGTGTGGTGAGAATGGAGCAGCTGTGTGGTGAGAATGGAGCAGCTGTGTGGTGAGAATGGAGCAGCTGTGTGGTGAGAATGGAGCAGCTGTGTGGTGAGAATGGAGCCTTGTGGAAATGTTCTGGAGCCTGACAAAGGCACTGGCGGATTCAGTGTGTGTAGGGGTTGTGCACTCTTGTTGCCTGTTTCTTGTCAACTTCACTGTCATTTGTTTTCTTTTGTTCAATTTGTGACACCACTTTTCAAAAGCCAGGATTCACCTCCAGAAGGACTTGGATGTTCATACACGACACGCTGAAGCACAACTCCACTACGCTCACTGTGCCTGCAGTCTGTGCTCTCTCTGCCTGCAGTCTATGCTCTCTGTGTCTGCAGTCTATGCTCTCTCTGTTTGCAGTCTATGCTCTCTCTGCCTGCAGTCTATGCTCTCTGTGCATGACAGTGAGAGGATACATCCTTGCCAACTACGTGGAGCTGGTCCTTGTGCTACACGTCTGTCTGCCGCGTGCTTCGGCGATGTGGAAGACTGTGAGTTGACCTTGACCTTACAGAAGGCCATGAAGTCTGCATCATAAGTTCAAGGTTCAGACGCTGAATTTCATTGTCCTTGGACTGAAATATGAGAAGGCAAGTTTTTAGTCCAATTCCCCTGAATACCTCAAACAGTTCCGTGTCAACGGAATATACTTGTTTAGGAGTGTCATCTTAACTTTGAGGAAGTGTCAACATTTTTCTGTGTAATATTCTTAAGCTGATGTCCACAAGTTACCCAAAGCTACCTCCCTCAAACAGATGTCAAACCTACATCACTGCAGCTCTGGGTAGTTGGACATTTACTTAACAGTTTAACATGTCAACAAAGACAGCAACATTTTTACATTAGAGAGACAAATATCTATGTTGAACTCATCAACATATTGTGACAGAAAGGAAAAACGAAAACTTAGTGATGCAGCAATGTCTGTGGCATCACAGTTGAAATGAGGTCTTGAATCTGCTTTTAGGCATTATCATGGGTGGAGGCCGAGGTGGGCGTGGGTGGGCGTCTGGGTGTGGGTGTGGGTGTGGGTGTGGGTGTGGGAGTGGGAGTGGGTGTGGGAGTGGGTGTGGGTGTGGGTGTGGGTGTGGGTGCGGGTGCGGGTGCGGGTGTGGGTGTGGGTGTGGGTGTGGGTGTGGGAGTGGGTGTGGGTGTGGGTGTGGGTGTGGGTGTGGGAGTGGGTTAGGAGGGACAACTGACCTGCATGTCCAGCTGAAGCTGCTGTGTGCTGCGATTCATCTCTTCCCGCATCTCCTCGATCAGTGACCGACGCATCTGGAATACACAGCAACGCAAATGTAGCCATACACAAACACATACAGTGTGGTCATTCTTTTAAAAGATAAAAAAGCAGCACAATGACATAGTTTTCAGAAAACATTCACAATTAATCAATATTTTAAGACTTCTTGATTAGATCCAAATATTCTTCAAATTGGCAGTAAGTGAGACCTATGTGTTGGTGCATTATGTCGTCACCCACCTCAACAAGGCTGTGCTGTGGGGTGTACTCGGGGGGCCCACTGCCCGGTAAACCAAACACAGATGGATACCCGTGCATGGGTGAGGGTGGCAGGAAGGGGGAGCTGTGGGTGAAGGATGTCTGGGATTCCCCCTCCTCCCTCATCTCCTCCTCCTCCTCTTCCTGTTCCTGCTCAAGACTCGAGCTCACCGTCTGTTGATACATCTGCTCCTTCAGCAACTCTGTCATCTGCATCAGATACAGTTAGGTCAGAGAACACCAAGGACAACTATTTCATTCAGGTACACCAAGGACAACCACTTCAATCAGGGACACCAAGGACAACCATGTCATTCAGGGACACCAAGGACAACCATGTGAATCAGGGACACCAAGGACAACCAAGTCAATCAGGGACACTAAGGACAACCATGTCATTCAGGGACACCAAGGACAACCATGTGAATCAGGGACACCAAGGACAACCAAGTCAATCAGGGACACCAAGGACAACCATGTCAATCAGGGACATCAAGGACAACCAAGTCAATCAGGGACACTAAGGACAACCATGTCATTCAGGGACACCAAGGACAACCATGTCAATCAGTGACACTAAGGACAACCATGTCAATCAGGTACACCAAGGACAACCATGTGAATCAGGGGCACCAAGGACAACCATGTCAATCAGGTACACCAAGGACAACCATGTGAATCAGGGACACCAAGGACAACCATGTCAATCAGGGACACCAAGGACAACCATGTGAATCAGGGACACCAAGGACAACCATGTGAATCAGGGACACCAAGGACAACCATGTCAATCAGGGACACCAAGGACAACCATGTCAATCAGTGACACCAAGGACAACCATGTCAATCAGGGACACCAAGGACAACCATGTGAATCAGGGACACCAAGGACAACCATGTCAATCAGGGACACTAAGGACAACCATGTGAATCAGGGACACCAAGGACAACCATGTGAATCAGGGACACCAAGGACAACCATGTCAATCAGGGACACCAAGGACAACCATGTCAATCAGGGACACCAAGGACAACCATGTCAATCAGTGACACCAAGGACAACCATGTCAATCAGGTACACCAAGGACAACCATGTGAATCAGGGACACCAAGGACAACCATGTCAATCAGGGACACCAAGGACAACCATGTGAATCGGGGACACCAAGGAAAGACATATTTGGGGATAGGACAGAATGAAATAACAGTTTGCACATTTATGCTTCAAACATGTATTAAAAGTTTATCTTATTCATTTGTTTGACTTACGCTCTGGATGACATTAAGTGTTGAAAGAAAGGTGAAGAAGTCATTGCCCTTGGTGACGGCCTTCATTCTGTGTGACAGCAGCTGCTCCATGTTGTAGATCTGCTCCCTCAGTTCCCGCCACAGCAGCTGCAGCTCCTCCACCTCCTCCCTGCAACAGCGCACACCGCAACACTAACAACACTGACAACAGCTCACAATGTGTAATGTCATTCAACAGACAAATCCTTTCCCCAATGCCACCCCACACTAGCATGTATACACCCCATCCCTCCCCACCCCATCCCTCCCCACCCCATCAACAGGCACATCTACCTCTCCCCACACATGCCACCCAGAAACACCCACCTCTCATCCTCCGCCAGATCCTCGTAAGCCAGCTGGTACTGCAGCAGACAGGAGGTCTCCATCACCTGCAGCTCCGCCTTGTACTTCTGTAGCGAGTGCTGGAGCAGGCGTGTCTCCTCCTGGATTCTCTAACAACAACAAGGAACAATGGTAGAAGACACATGGAACAATGGTAGAGGACACATGGAACAATGGTAGAGAAGAGGAGGAACAATGGTAGAGAACAGAAGGAACAATGGTAGAAGACACATGGAACAATGGTAGAGGACACATGGAACAATGGTAGAGGACACATGGAACAATGGTAGAGGACACATGGAACAATGGTAGAGAAGAGAAGGAACAATGGTAGAGAACAGAAGGAACAGTGGCAGAGAACACAAGGATAGAGGACACAAAAAACAGTGGTAGAGAAGAGAAGGAACAATGGCAGAGAACACAAGGAACAGTGGTAGAGAACAGAAGGAACATTGTTACATGAGTTTTAGTGTATTTGACCACAGTACTCTCATTGTTAAATACATGACCTTAGAATAACGAATCCCCTGCTGGCTTGTTTTTCATTATTTGAAAACCGAATAGACAAACACACCGGCAGCTAATGTAACACACCTTCTTTCTCATCAGACTCGGCCAGTCCCGTATGTGTTTCTTGGGTCGGTAGCGAGTAAAACTTCGATGACGACCCTGCCAAATAAACAAATACTACAATGAATACATAACACTGATAGATGAAAACAATGCAAAAGGAGGTCAGTCATAATGATTGTAATCATTTCTTTGGACAAAACATAAATATAAAAAAATAGGCGTTGACATCAAATGCAAAATTTTCAACAAAAAGGACACTGAGGTTGCTGAGACTGACCCTGTATGAGACAGGCTGGTTGACAGACAATGTCTACATGTTAGATTAATGAGACTGACCCTGTATGAGACAGGCTGGTTGACAGACAATGTCTAAATGTTAGATTACTGAGACTGACCCTGTATGAGACGGGCTGGTTGACAGACAATGTCTACATGTTAGGTTACTGAGACTGACCCTGTATGAGACGGGCTGGTTGACAGACAATGTCTCTACATGTAAGGTTACTGAGACTGACCCTGTATGAGACGGGCTGGTTGACAGACAATGTCTCTACATGTAAGGTTACTGAGACTGACCCTGTATGAGACGGGCTGGTTGACAGACAATGTCTCTACATGTTAGGTTGAGGAGACTGACCCTGTATGAGACTGGCTGGTTGACAGACAATGTCTCTACATGTTAGGTTACTGAGACTGACCCTGTATGAGACAGGCTGGTTGACAGACAATGTCTACATGTTAGGTTACTGAGACTGACCCTGTATGAGACGGGCTGGTTGACAGACGGTTACGGAGACTGACCCTGTATGAGCCTGGCTGGTTGACAGACAATGTCTACATGTTAGGTTACTGAGACTGACCCTGTATGAGACTGGCTGGTTGACAGACAATGTCTACATGTTAGGTTACTGAGACTGGCCCTGTATGAGACTGGCGAGTTGACAGACAATGTCTACATGTTAGGTTACTGAGACTGGCCCTGTATGAGACGGGCTGGTTAACAGACAATGTCTCTACATGTTAGGTTACTGAGACTGACCCTGTATGAGACTGGCTGGTTGACAGACAATGTCTACATGTTAGGTTACTGAGACTGGCCCTGTATGAGACGGGCTGGTTAACAGACAATGTCTCTACATGTTAGGTTACTGAGACTGACCCTGTATGAGACTGGCTGGTTGACAGACAATGTCTCTACATGTTAGGTTACTGAGACTGACCCTGTATGAGACTGGCTGGTTGACAGACAATGTCTACATGTTAGGTTACTGAGACTGGCCCTGTATGAGACTGGCGAGTTGACAGACAATGTCTACATGTTAGGTTACTGAGACTGACCCTGTATGAGATGGACTGGTTAACAGACAATGTCTCTACATGTTAGGTTACGGAGACTGACCCTGTATGAGACGGGCTGGTTGACAGACAATGTCTCTACATGTTAGGTTACGGAGACTGACCCTGTATGAGCCTGGCTGGTTGACAGACAATGTCTACATGTTAGGTTACTGAGACTGACCCTGTATGAGACGGGCTGGTTGACAGACAATGTCTACATGTTAGATTACTGAGACTGACCCTGTATGAGACGGGCTGGTTGACAGACAATGTCTACATGTTAGGTTACTGAGACTGACCCTGTATGAGACGGGCTGGTTGACAGACAATGTCTACATGTTAGGTTACGGAGACTGACCCTGTATGAGACGGGCTGGTTGACAGACAATGTCTCTACATGTTAGGTTATGGAGACTGACCCTCTATGAGATGGACTGGTTAACAGACAATGTCTCTACATGTTAGGTTACGGAGACTGACCCTGTATGAGAAACAGACAATGTCTACATGTTAGGTTACTGAGACTGACCCTGTATGAGACGGGCTGGTTGATGAGGCGGACCAACTTCCTGTAGTCGAGAATCTCCCCGGAACTGCAGCTGGCTGTACTCTCTGCTACGGAGGAGCATGAGTAGTCACTGTCATCCTCCGCCAGCGAAATCCGGGACCCAAACTCACCGCTGTCGGCCACACTCAGGTTCAACACAGACACAGCAGACGTGTGTCTCGCACTCTCCTGCTGCGACACCTCCAACACATGCCTTATGCCACCACCTTGTCGAGCTGCTGAGTGGGGGGACTCCCAATGAGAAGGGAGGTAACTCCCCCGGAGGTCTTCATCACTCTCGAACCGCTCAGGTTTGGCTAGTGGGGCTCTGATCTGATAGAATGGAGACACATGGACCTCCTTGGTTGTGTGTACTGTCTTCACTTGGGACTTCTGCTCTTGACTATTATTTTGAATTTCAATGCTATTTTGAGACGTGTTTGGCACAATGACAGAAACTCTTGTTTTCCCCAGAACTAAGCTTTGTCCACAAACTTTGGTTTCTGACTCTTGTTTGATGATTGACGAGGGTGTTGTTTTGCCCAATGGTGGTATATAGAATGTACTGATAAATCGACTAGATAGATCACCATTTGGCTCAACATTCTCTCCAAAAGTCCGTCTGAAAGAATTCAACTTGGGATCCTGTGGCACTGTCAGCTCCATTGCTGTCACATGACGTGCATGCTCTGACAGCGACGTCTGTGTGGCCATATCGGTGACAACATCGTGCACGAGGACGGTGGTGTTGCTGCTTGCAAGCGTTCCTGCACTCTCACTGCTGCTACCGAGACTTGCCACCTGACAATCCAACATAGTTACACTGTAGTGACACATAGTTACATTGTGATGAAACATTGTTACACTGTAGTGACACATAGTTACATTGTGATGAAACATTGTTACACTGCAGTGAAACATAGTTACATTGTGATGAAACATTGTTACACTGCAGTGAAACATAGTTACATTGTGATGAAACATCATTACACTGTAGTGACACATAGTTACATTGTGATAAAACATAGTTACACTGTAGTGACACATAGTTACATTGTGATGAAACATTGTTACACTGCAGTGAAACATAGTTACATTGTGATGAAACATCATTACACTGTAGTGACACATAGTTACATTGTGATAAAACATAGTTACACTGTAGTGACACATAGTTACATTGTGATGAAACATTGTTACACTGCAGTGAAACATAGTTACATTGTGATGAAACATCATTACACTGTAGTGACACATAGTTACATTGTGATAAAACATTGTTACATTGTTATGAAACGTAGTTACACTGTAGTGACACATAGTTACATTGTGATGAAACATTGTTACACTGCAGTGAAACATAGTTACATTGTGATGAAACATCATTACACTGTAGTGACACATAGTTACATTGTGATAAAACATTGTTACATTGTTATGAAACGTAGTTACACTGTAGTGACACATAGTTACATTGTGATGAAACATAGTTACACTGTAGTGACACATAGTTACATTGTGATGAAACATTGTTACACTGCAGTGAAACATAGTTACATTGTGATGAAACATCATTACACTGTAGTGACACATAGTTACATTGTGATAAAACATTGTTACATTGTTATGAAACGTAGTTACACTGTAGTGACACATAGTTACATTGTGATGAAACATAGTTACACTGTAGTGAAACATACTTATATTGTGATGAAACAGTTACATTGTGATGAAACATACTTACACTGTAGTGAAACATAGTTATATTGTGATGAAACATTGTTACATTGTGATGAAACATAGTTACACTATAGTGAAACATAGTTATATTGTGATGAAACATACTTACACTGTAGTGAAACATAGTTATATTGTGATGAAACATTGTTACATTGTGATGAAACATAGTTACACTGTAGTGAAACATAGTTATATTGTGATGAAACATTGTTACATTGTGATGAAACATGGTTACACTGTCCGCATTTAAGGACAAGAAGCTCATGGAACTGAGAAACTGTTGTCATAATCATATATATCTATCAGTGTTTCACCGAATGATGGCTTTCTCACTGTTGCAGTGGTGGTACAACTGAAATTTGACGAATCATTACATCCCTAAAGTCATATCTTTTCCCTAAAAGAATTATGAATTTTTGCCAATTACATTTTCTGATGCTGCTTGTTTGTTCCTTGTGAATTTGTTGCTAGTTTAACACCTCACTCAGCTATATTGCAGCTACATGTACATGACACAGATGGAAAATACTCTGGAACAAACAATCCGGTGATCAAAATTGTGAGTGTCAGGGTAAGATGACATGCTATCAACAAAGTACAGATGCTGAACATCTGATCCATCTAGTCACCTCATGCAATCCAGCATAGGCTGCTGGGGGCCAATACTCGTACTCCCCAATACTCATACTCCCCATGGGGACTGCTCTGATGTGAACTACGTACCCAGGCCCGATCATTTTCCGGTGCAGGCAGGTCAGCTGTGTTGTCAGCGTCACCAAACCCGCTGCTGTCAGACTGCACACTCCCCATCCTCGTCAGATCTGGAGGACAGACAAATATTTCCCATGTTTGAAAGTGTACACTACCATGACATCAAAGCTTGGAATTATGGAGATATCTGTGTGACAGGACAGATAATGTTTGAAATATGGCTGCCGTGGAGAGTTAAATCAGTGAACTAGGTTCACAGCCTTTGGTGGGGATCAAATAAAAACGTCTCATATTTTAGAGATGACAAGTGCAGATGAATATCAGCTCAAGGGGGTAAAATACGAGCTTGTAGCTTAGTACACAAGCACTATGAGTGACTTACCATCCTGACTGCGCTTCACATCATCAATAACAGACTTCACCTGAAACAGAAAGATGGCCGGGATGAGTCTCGCACCCAACGTAACAAACCAAGCCTGCATAGCAACAGGAGTAACTCATCCTGTTTCTATGGTAAATTCTATGACTGCTTCTGTTGATAAAAACATGATACAAGGGGCTGGATACCGCCTCATCAGCATCTTCTTGCCATGTTCCACGTATATACTTGTATAGAAGGAACCAGACATTTTTAAAAAGTGTCTCAGTTAAACGACAGCAAGTCAGTGGGAGGAAATGCAAGTCCTGGTCGTTTATTCTTTGTTGTAGGGAAGCAATCATGAAGCAGGTAGATGGCAGTCATGCGCCTTGCATGGAAATCTTAAACCTCATCCTACTAGACTGAGCATCCAGTCCCTAGGTGAGGTGAGGTGAAATGGGGTTTAACGTCGCGTCCAAGATTATTGCACTTATATAGCAACGTGCATGTATGTGTGTGTGTTTGTGTGGCTGCTTGTACTAGTCCGGACTGATGCCGATTTATAGTGCTAGCTCACTGAGATACCATGCCACAGTTTAACATGAATACCCCACTCAGACACAGTATACCGACTCCGAGCCGACCAGTCCTTGTTTTAGCCCCTTAATGCCGAGCGCCAAACAGGGTAACAACAAGTACCATCTTTTAACGTCTTTTGGTATGACGCGGCCGGGGATCGAACCCCGGACCTTCCGCTCTCCGGGCAGATGCTCTACCACTAGACCACGGAAGCGGTCTCCAGTCCCTCGTGTATGCGAGTATGTTGCAGATACAGTCAACACCATGATGGTAATGGTGATGGAGCTTGGATTCGAACCCAACAGATGCTGAAGGCTAAGGGAGACAACTCTTGACAGCAAGTTGTGGCATGCTACACCACCGTGTCATCGCTGTCCACTACTCAATGAACACAAACACTTGATCCATGATAGTGATATGGCAAAATATACACATATGTTCAAAATAATGTCAAGTCACATGACTATTTTACTTTGAAAGAACTTTCAACATTACACCAGGGTTCGATTCCCCACATGTGTACAATGTGTGAAGCCTATTTCTAGTGTCCCCTGCTGTGATATTGCTGGAATATTGCTAAAAGCGTCGTAAAACCACACTCACTCACTCACTCAACATTACCTTTGCTGACGAAAAGTTGTCATTTTCATCCAGTTTGTGACCATCGAAAGATGTCTGACAACTGACCGAAACACTTCTGTCTGTCCGATCTGACTCTTCGAACACAGAATCTTTGGATAATGTCTGCATGAGAACAGGGTGAGAGACTTCCACATCCATTGAAGGCCGTGGACTTTCCACCAGGGTGTAATCTGACCCAGAGTCAGACAAGCGCTCCAGCTGTGCATTCACAATAGTCAGTAACGAATGAGTGCCATTTACTGACTTGGGCAAGACGCTCCCTGAATCAGTAACATCCCGAGCACTCGGGTCTGTATCTGAAACAACGATCCTGACATCATTTCTGTCACTGTCAACTTCAATCACTGATGCCACTTTCTCTATTGTGCTCTGCTTGGATGGACACCCTGACACAACATAGTTCCCATCCTCATCATCGTCATCCATCAGAACATTCACCTGGTGTTCCCTGTTGCGGCTGATGCTACCAAGATCTTCTCCACTTCTCTTCATCATCTCCTCCTCAAATAGCCGCCTCTTTTCACTGATGGAGGATGTCCTGGAATCATTGGCTGGGGAGTCGGAGCTGTCCATGGAACTACTGAAGTCAGTGCCGGAGTGCCTCCCCTTGGACTCATCCAGGCTCCGGGAAATCCACATTTCCCCATTGTCCACATTTTCTATGGGGTCATCTGTTGATTCCACCATGCTCCATCGTTTGGTGCTTCTTGTCTTCTGGAAACGCTCCCTCCTAGTTGCAGCATCCAGCACCGGTTTCCTCATGTGAACATCAGATGTCATCCCCTGTCTGACATCTTTCCTCTCGACTCGGGGAACGTTACAGTCATAATACCCCTGACTAGCCAGCGCACGTTGATTCTCTGCACTGAGGATGCGAGGATGGATCACATGCTGGGGAGACTCCACATCAGGAGGGCCTGACTCAGCAGCGGCAACGGCAGCGATGTTGTTGTTATTGCTGCTGCTGGGAGGTGACGCTGCTGTGGTGTGACCGATGATCGACTTCATGGCCAGCATCGTTGAGATGGATTTGGACAGAGACCCCCATTTGCCTGCAAGAACACCACACAGTCAGCAAACAGCACATCTCTGTTAAATACCAGGGCATCCAAAACATATAAGATTTGTAACTTAATATATAGCAGAACTTCTATTATATATTGTTATGTAATTAAAGAAATGCTTTTTGACATACATGTTGTTGTGAGAAAAACTTCTTCATATTATATTAACAACACTCTTTTATTACTCTAAGCAGTGGAGATTTACTTCGGAGCATCTGAAGAGGATGCTTAGGGTAGAAAACCTGGTTTCTGGTTTCTTTCATTAGCATGGAAAATACATTTTCTTGTACAAATATGGGAAGAATTCATGCAAAAAACAAATAATCAGACAAAAACATCAACAAAACAGAAAATAAATCCAAAGAAAAGGCACATTAAGACCATGCACACTGAACGTCTTCATACTGAGACCGACCCAGGCATGAACCAACATTGTCACGAGGACTGTTGTGTAACTGTGCAAGTCAAAGAGAAAGATTTAGTCACTCTACTTCACTGTTACAGAGTCATGAACAAAACCTGTTCCCTAACAGCAGTGTTCGAAATACCTGCCTGCCCGACCGTCCAAGACGGGTTGATTTCAACTCGGGCTGCCAGATTTTCAAATCCCCCTGCCCGACGGTCGGGTTATATTTCATATGTGACAATATTCAAAATATTTCCCGATGATAAGCATTAATTCACATGTAAAGATGAATGATAAAATGTAACCAAAAAGAAACCCCGTTAGCTTATCCTGAGAAACGTATGATTATAGTGGGCAGGCAGGTTTTGGTCAGGGCTGGCAAGTATTTCAGCTAGCCAGTCCTGTGGTCTGGCTGAAATTTTTGGGAGTTTCATACCCTGCTAACAGCACACAGATTCATTAACGAGGGAGATAGAGGTCAAGGTCATTCAATTCCAGGGCAAGTCAAGGCTTTATGAAGACGCGGCAAAATGAAACAGACACTGTTCTACATACAACATCAGGAAACAACACATTTATTTGTGAGGACCACAGTTAAATACAACACATGGGATCACAGGCAGCCCTATCTAGGGAAACAAACACCAGACTTCAAGAGGTGCAGGGTCAACACTGTGCCTACTGGGCCACCTGACCAGACTGACCAAACAATCAGCTTATCACTGAGCTTCCTATCATTTCTGAAGCTCACAACATTAGGGATTTCTTAAAGCATCTTTTTTTTTTAAAATTTAACTTAAACTGGGGAAAATAGAATAAGTCTTAACATGACATTAGATAGTAAAGGTTATGACCACAATTTATAAAAGTAGTCAAACATTTTGTGAGAAAGTCCTTTTTTTATCCTACATACCATTCTATAATGACAAATACCCTGGACCTCTTCAGGTATTGTTTTGTCCTGGAAGTGGCACCACCATTCCCATTATCAGCACCTTCCACAGAACTTCTGTTGTAAGTTGATGGCTCTACTCAAGTGAGTATACTGGCCGATGGGACCAAGGTATTTGACAAAGGGAAGTATGATACTTTAATACAGAGGAAACTGAAGGATGCTAAAAGGTGAAATTCAACATGAGTGCAGAACTACAAACAACACACACATGTGACAGTGCTGCATGACTTTGAAGGAACCAACCACAAATGTCTCGTCACCATTAACATTGTGTTACTCAAAATGTTGTTTTATGTAACAAATTAATAAAAAAAATTAGGAAAAAACAATAGTTAACCCCGTTCTTCCTGCGTTTGTCGGACAGGTTAACTGACCCTGGCAACGACATGGCTGGTTCCTTGTCTCTGTGTGCGTAACAAGTAACCAAGGTAACATTCTCCACTCAAAACGTGCTGAAGTCACCAGTATTTGTTTCCTGTACAGCTGTTGGAGGAGACAGACACAGGCGGACATGCTCACATTACCTGGCTGGGTGTCCTGCAGTCAACTACTGGAGCGGGGGGTCAGTGATCTACGCTGTTGTAACATGGCCCAACACTACACCTGCCTATCTGTGGACAATGTCCCAACACTACATCTGCCTATCTGTAGAACTTGTCCAAACACTACACCTGCCTATCTGTGGACAATGTCCCAACACTACATCTGCCTATCTGTAGACCATGTCCCAACACTACACTTGCCTATCTGTAGAACTTGTCCCAACACTACATCTGCCTATCTGTATAACTTCTACAAACACTACATCTGCCTATCTGTGGACCACGGCCCAACACTACATCTGCCTATCTATGGACCATGGCCAAACTCTACACCTGCCTATCTGTGGACCATGACCAAACACTACACCTGCCTATCTGTGGACCATGGCCCAATGCTACACCTGCCTATCTGTGGACCATGGCCCAATGCTACACCTGCCTATCTGTGGACCACAGCCCAACACTACACCTGCCTATCTGTGGATCATGGCCCAATGCTACACCTGCCTATCTGTGGACCACAGCCCAACACTACACCTGCCTATCTGTGGATCATGGCCCAATGCTACACCTGCCTATCTGTGGACCATGGCCCAATGCTACACCTGCCTATCTGTGGATCATGGCCCAATGCTACACCTGCCTATCTGTGGACCACAGCCCAACACTACACCTGCCTATCTGTGGATCATGGCCCAATGCTACACCTGCCTATCTGTCGACCACAGCCCAACACTACACCTGCCTATCTGTGGATCATGGCCCAATGCTACACCTGCCTATCTGTGGACCATGGCCCAATGCTACACCTGCCTATCTGTGGACCACGGCCCAACACTACACCTGCCTATCTGTGGACCATGGCCCAATGCTACACCTGCCTATCTGTGGACCATGACCCAACACAACACCTGCCTATCTGTGGACCATGGCCCAACACTACACCTGCCTATCTGTGGACCATGACCCAACACAACACCTGCCTATCTGTGGACCATGGCCCAATGCTACACCTGCCTATCTGTGGACCATGGCCCAACACTACACCTGCCTATCTTTAGCTCCCATCACTCCTATTCCAGAACTCCAGTGCTCTGCTTCTATAGGTATGTATAAGAATGTTAGAAAATAACATTTATAATATGTGTGGATAAAAAGACCTGAAATATTGTTAACAAATCATCTGATCCTGATGAGTGAATTGCCTTTTATTTTGAAAATAATGTATTTTATTTAACATAATGAAACACCACCAATAAATAATCATTACATTATGGTAGAATGGGGACAACTCAACCGTGTCTTCAGGCAGAGGTTTCACCACCACCACCACTCACTTCAGTCATAGCACTGTCTACAGAGAAACCCTGATAATCTGGACACAACAAATCCAGAAGCCCCACTTTGCAGACAATTTCTGTTTAAGAAATCCCCTTGAAGTGAAGGAAAAATGGTTTGTTAATCAACGCTGTCAATACAGACTCCTGAAACACCACCATCCACATTCACAGGGTTCCACTGTATTAAAGCTTTAGAAAATATTTTTAAGATCAGATATTTTGTAAGTTGTTTATTTTCAAGAGCTGTACAAGCTGTACAACAAAGCAGTTGTCTGGGCAATGTATGCACACTTCAGGGAAATTTACACAGCATCCACTTCAATTAGTCAAAATTAATTTCCACTTGCATATGTTCCATACAAAAACCACTGATGAGATTTAGGAACTCTCCACACACTTATCTGTTGCCAGTCTTGGTTTGGTTTATTTCCAGAGCTCCATACCAATCTTAGCATTACAACTGCTGTAAGCCTGTGTGTGTGACATCCATCATGGCACACAGCGATCTTAGCGCCACAACTACTGTTAAGTCTGTGAGTGACATGGCACACCGCGATCTTAGCACCACAACTACCAGTGAGTGACATCCATCATGGCACACAGCGATCTTAGCGCCACAACTACCAGTTAGTGACATCCATCATGGCACACAGCGATCTTAGCGCCACAACTACCAGTGAGTGACATCTATCATGGCAAACATCGATCTTAGCATTACAACTGCTGTAAGCCTGTGAGTGACATCCATCATGGCACACAGCGATCTTAGCGCAACAACTACCAGTGAGTGACGTCCATCACTGCACACAGCGATCTTAGCACCCCAAGTACTGTAAGCCTGTGAGCGTAACAACCATCATGGCACACAGCGATCTTAGCACCACAACTACTGTAAGCCTGTGAGTGACATCCATCATGGCACACAGCGATCTTAGCGCCACAACTACCAGTGAGTGACATCCATCACTGCACAAAGTGATCTTAGCGCCACAACTACTGTAAGCCTGTGAGTGACATCCATCATGGCACACAGCGATCTTAGCGCCACAACTACTGCAAGCCTGTGTGAGTGACATCCATCACTGCACACAGCGATCTTAGCACCACAACCACCAGTGAGTGACATCCATCACTGCACACAGCGATCTTAGCACCACAACTACCTGTGAGTGACATCCATCACTGCACACAGAGATCTTAGCACCACAACTACCTGTGAGTGACATCCATCACGGCAAACAGCGATCCTAGCGCCACAACTACTGTAAGCCTGTGAGTGACATGGCACACAGCGATCTTAGCATTACAACTACCTGTGAGTGACATCCATCACTGCACATAGGACCTGCAATGCCTCACAACAGTTGTGGAACATCATCAGCATCAAGGAGACGAACAAGCTCAAGTCTACCAGTACCCTAATTTCCGACGACAGCATAAAATGCCATCAAACATGTAAGCATTGCAACATAATGAACCCTGTTGCTAGGGTGTTTGTAGAATCACTAAGCAGACATATATACCTGACACTGTATTCTCAAAACCCTTTCCCAAATGTCAAAGGAATCATGAACTCCTCAATGCTTGTGTGGCAACAACAGTCATTTGAAGAGAAAAACAAACATTTCAACAAAAACTGATTCACAGCATTAAATAACTTATAAACAGGACAATGATCTGCAAGTGAAGTTCCCCCTCATGGACAGCACAGGTGAAGGAAGCACCAGTAAAATACTTCCCCAGTGTGTACTTCTCTAATTTAGTCAATAAAAAACAGTTGCATCAATCTGTCTGTCATAACAAGCACTGCTTTCATTTTTAAAATGTATAAAAACCCATTTGATCTTCTAACAAAAAACAAGTTGCACAAGTATGAATAGTTTCATTACATCATATTTCTTTCAACTAAAAAAGTTAATCAGGATGAGGTTTCATAACCTTTGTTATGCTGTTCCCTTTGTTGAAGTAATCAAATAAAATGGAACAGGCAGAATGATAAAATTATTGTTTTACAAAAGATTTCATGTTCTTGAAAGATTAATAGAGTCTCTTAATTTCCTGATCTTATCAATTTCTACTGACATGTCGTACATAATGGTGAGATACAAGGGTGGGAGTTATCTCCCTTGAGCTAGGTTTCATCATGGAATCATTTGTAACAAGAAAAACACGACCAAATATTCAGAGTAATTATCATCTCTGCAAAAAACAGGTGTAAAATAGAAGTTACTCGTGGTGACCAAAACATGTTCAGCAATATCATACATCTCGTGTCAACAGTTAATAACAAACTCAACAGCATATCATAGCCCCATCCAAATATGGAGGACAAAATAAGTCAACAAGAATATATCACAAACTTAGCTACAGCAATCTACACTATGGTAATCATGTCAACAGGGTGAAAAAATATCACAAAGCTACATAAATCATAACAAGTGATGCGGGAAAACATTTTGGCCCAAACTTATTCTTACATTCAGAGTATTTGGCAACAGGTATTTCACTAGATGTGTAAAGAGTGGGACCTTGTGTTGAAGGGCAACCTGGAAGAGTATGCAAGAAATGTGTTCCTGTGTTCAGGGACTCGGTTCCTAGTCTTGGTATCAGGCATAAACAATTCTTCATCTGCTGGAACCGGAAGTGACTACTGTATCCAACCAATCAGCTGTCCTACGCAGACTTCAGCTATCCTGGGAGGTGCTGCAGCGTGGGGAAGTGACTCCAGCCCAGATCAGCTTCCTCGTCTATCTATACCAACGTGAGTTCGTGCACATAGGGACTAGGTGCAGGGCAGGTAACTGCATCCAGCTTAACCAGAGAAATGTCAGGAGATGGTATCTGTCTCCATGGCTCAAAGGTGGGCATGACCTTCTGCTTGTGTTCACTAACCTTATAAATACTGACATAAATATCAACACATGGAGGAGAAGCTTGAAGCAGGACTTAGACGAGGGATTCATTAGGAGACAGCATGACGTTGAAGTAGTGGTACGCATCTTGGGACATGGACGAGGTGGAGCCAGATGACATGCTGATCGAATCACTCTCAGATTTACATGGAGGCTCTAACAAGTCCAAGTTTTGGGGGCGTGTTTGAGCAAAGTAATCTTCATCATCAAGTGCACAGTCTTTGACTAAAGGTGACATCGGCCCATTCTGTGGTGTCTTCAGCTCGTGCTCAAGGATGTCAACATCTTCGATCTCCAACGTTACGCCATCCCTACTCAAGGTCAAACCAGGGTCTTCTTCATTTCCATTCAAGTCGACGATGCCGACAATTGTACGATCTTCCATCAGCATGGTGAAATGCTTCCGGGGAAAATAGGCTGGAACACGACAGTCAATCATATCATCCATTTCAGCACAATATTCTGAACCGAACTGACCTGATTTCTTCATCATGACTTGCTGGAGCTCGGGGTACTCGGTGAGGAAGTCCGCGATGTTGATGCCGCTGGCGTGAGACTTCTGCATGAAGCGTACCGGCACTCGCAGCATCGGCGTCTCCTGCTCATGGGCGAAACCGAAACCAAGACTTCGCAACATCTGCTCTGGATCCACATTACGTTGAGACAGTAAAATGTCGAGACTGCAAACACAATACCATCAATGAGAATCATTCAACATAAACTTCCAGCTTACAACCAGGACCCTGTTCCACATAGTGATCGTAGCGCTAAGGTGATCGTAATTCCCATAATTTAACACTGACTTATGACAGTCGTAGCGCTAAGGTGATCGTAATTCCCATACTTTAACACTGACTTATGACAGTCGTAGCGCTAAGGTGATCGTAATTCCTATACTTTAACACTGACTTGTGACAGTCGTAGCACTAAGGTGATCGTAATTCCAATACTTTAACACTGACTTATGACAGTCGTAGCACTAAGGTGATCGTAATTCCCATACTTTAACACTGACTTATGACAGTCGTAGCACTAAGGTGATCGTAATTCCTATACTTTAACACTGACTTGTGACAGTCGTAGCATTAACATTAACTACATTAACTCCCAACTTACACACCAAGAATCAGACAGAGACGGTACCTCCTTGTATCAGACAGGGATCATACCTCCTTGTATCAGACAGGGATCATACCTCCATGTGACAGATCGTACCTCCTTGTATCAGACAGAGATCATACCTCTATGTGACAGATCGTACCTTCATGTCACAGGGAGCCACGGGTGGCCTATTTGTCTAAGGCGCCATGAGTCGCTGTGCAGAGTTGCGTCCCCTGGACATGCCAGAAACCTATGATTGTGGGTTCGAATCCCGGTTCACCCCGATTATGTTTCTAGGTTTGTCAGCACCATACCCGTGCCCATGGGTTTCACCGAAGTGGTAAACGTCTGAGACCTGCATCACTTCGGGCTTTCCTCCCACATTAAGCTGACACGCTGCGATATAACTGGAATAATGTTAAAAGCGGCGTTAAACCCAACTCACTCACTCACTCACTCATGTCACAGATCGTACCTCCTTGTATCAGACAGAGACCGTACCTCCATGTGACAGATCGTACCTCCATGTGACAGACTGTACCTCTATGTATCAGACAGAGAGCGTACCTCCATGTGACAGATTGTACCTCCTTGTATCAGACAGAGAGCGTATCTCCATGTGACAGACTGTACCTCTATGTATCAGACAGAGAGCGTATCTCCATGTGACAGACTGTACCTCTATGTATCAGACAGAGAGCGTATCTCCATGTGACAGATTGTACCTCCTTGTATCAGACAGAGAGCGTACCCCCATGTGACAGATCGTACCTCTATGTATCAGACAGAGAGCGTACCTCCATGTGACAGATCGTACCTCCTTGTATCAGACAGTGTTTGTTCTGCACCAGGCAGAGAACTGCAGTGCAACAGCAGGCAGGTAATGGGGATACCTGGCTGACCCCTCAAACAGGTTTCCCATCTGCCTGGGGGTGTCCTCATCATTGCCTCTGAAAGCATTACATCACAGCCCTAGGAGGCTATTGTTTGTGGGGGGCTGCTGTCTGCACACATGCTGCCCTGTGTCAACACCAGGAACATTGAGTTCTCACCTGTCTCACAATCTACCTGTCAATCAAACTCGCTCATGTGCGAAAATCAGCAACTTCTATCACTTCCATCACAAGGACAGGAATAGTTTTTTGTTCATAACTAGAATAGTGATTTGCTCATAACTGGAATAGTGATTTGCTCATAACAGGAATAGTGATTTGCTCATAACTGGAATAGTCTTTTGCTCATAACTGGAATAGTCTTTTGCTCATAACTGGAATAGTGATTTGCTCATAACTGGAATAGTGATTTGCTCATAACTGGAACAGTGTTTTACTCATAACTGGAATAGTGATTTGCTCATAACTGGAATAGTGATTTGCTCATAACTGGAATAGTCTTTTGCTCATAACTGGAACAGTGTTTTACTCATAACTGGAATAGTGATTTGCTCATAACTGGAATAGTGATTTGCTCATAACTGGAATAGTGTTTTGTTCAGTATAGGTATAGTGTTATGTTCAGTACAGGTATAGTGTATTGTTCAGTACAGGTATAGTGTTTTGTTCAGTACAGGTATAGTGTTTTGTTCAGTACAGGTATAGTGTTTTGTTCAGTACAGGTATAGTGTTTTGTTCAGTAGAGTTATGGTGTTATGTTCAGTACAGGTATAGTGTTTTGTTCAGTATAGGTATAGTGTTATGTTCAGTACAGGTATAGTGTATTGTTCAGTACAGGTATAGTGTTTTGTTCAGTACAGGTATAGTGTTTTGTTCAGTACAGGTATAGTGTTTTGTTCAGTAGAGTTATGGTGTTATGTTCAGTACAGGTATAGTGTTATGTTCAGTACAGGTATAGTGTTATGTTCAGTACAGGTATAGTGTTTTGTTCAGTACAGGTATAGTGTTTTGTTCAGTACAGGTATAGTGTTATGTTCAGTATTGGTATAGTGTTTTGTTCTGTACAGGTATAGTGTTTTGTTCAGTAGGGGTATAGTGTTTTTTCAGTACAGTTATAGTGTTATGTTCAGTACAGTTATAGTGTGTTTTTTCAGTACAGTTATAGTGTGTTTTTTCAGTACAGTTATAGTGTTATGATCAGTACAGGTATAGTGTTTTTATCAGTACAGGTATAGTGTTTTTTTCAGTACAGGTATAGTGTATTGTTCAGTACAGGCATAGTGTTTTGTTCAGTACAGGTATAGTGTATTGTTCAGTACAGGTATAGTGTTTTGTTCAGTACAGGTATAGTGTTTTGTTCAGTAGAGTTATGGTGTTATGTTCAGTACAGGTATAGTGTTATGATCAGTACAGGTATAGTGTTATGTTCAGTACAGGTATAGTGTTTTGTTCAGTATAGGTATAGTGTTATGATCAGTACAGTTATAGTGTTATGTTCAGTAGAGGTATAGTGTTATGTTCAGTAGAGGTATAGTGTTATGATCAGTACAGTTATAGTGTGTTGTTCAGTACAGGTATAGTGTATTGTTCAGTAGAGGTATAGTGTTTTGTTCAGTATAGGTATAGTGTTATGTTCAGTACAGGTATAGTGTTATGTTCAGTAGAGGTATAGTGTTTTGTTCAGTACAGGTATAGTGTTATGTTCAGTACAGGTATAGTGTTTTGTTCAGTACAGGTATAGTGTTATGTTCAGTACAGGTATAGTGTTATGTTCAGTAGAGGTATAGTGTTTTGTTCAGTACAGGTATAGTGTTATGTTCAGTACAGGTATAGTGTTATGTTCAGTACAGGTATAGTGTTTTGTTCAGTACAGGTATAGTGTTTTGTTCAGTAGAGGTATAGTGTTATGATCAGTACAGGTATAGTGTTTTGTTCAGTACAGGTATAGTGTTATGATCAGTACAGGTATAGTGTTTTGTTCAGTAGAGGTATAGTGTTATGATCAGTACAGGTATAGTGTTATGTTCAGTACAGGTATAGTGTTATGATCAGTACAGGTATAGTGTATTGTTCAGTACAGGTATAGTGTTATGATCAGTACAGGTATAGTGTTTTGTTCAGTAGAGGTATAGTGTTATGATCAGTACAGGTATAGTGTTATGTTCAGTACAGGTATAGTGTTATGATCAGTACAGGTATAGTGTTTTGTTCAGTAGAGGTATAGTGTTATGATCAGTACAGGTATAGTGTTATGTTCAGTACAGGTATAGTGTTATGATCAGTACAGGTATAGTGTTTTGTTCAGTAGAGGTATAGTGTTTTGTTCAGTAGAGGTATAGTGTTATGTTCAGTACAGGTATGGTGTTTTGTTCAGTACAGGTATAGTGTTATGTTCAGTACAGGTATAGTGTTTTGTTCAGTACAGGCATAGTGTTTTGTTCAGTACAGGCATAGTGTTATGTTCAGTACAGGTATAGTGTTATGATCAGTATAGGTATAGTGTTTTGTTCAGTACAGGTATAGTGTTTTCTTCAGTACAGGCATAGTGTTTTGTTCAGTACAGGCATAGTGTTATGTTCAGTACAGGTATAGTGTTATGATCAGTATAGGTATAGTGTTTTGTTCAGTACAGGTATAGTGTTTTGTTCAGTACAGGTATAGTGTTATGTTCAGTACATGTATAGTGTTTTCTTCAGTACAGGCATAGTGTTTTGTTCAGTACAGGTATAGTGTTTTTTCAGTAGAGTTATGGTGTTATGTTCAGTACAGGTATAGTGTTTTGTTCAGTACAGGTATAGTGTTTTGTTCAGTAGAGTTATGGTGTTATGTTCAGTACAGGTATAGTGTATTGTTCAGTACAGGTATAGTGTATTGTTCAGTACAGGTATAGTGTGTTTTTTCAGTACAGTTATAGTGTTTTGTTCAGTAGGGGTATAGTGTTTTTTCAGTACAGTTATAGTGTTATGTTCAGTACAGTTATAGTGTGTTTTTTCAGTACAGTTATAGTGTTTTGTTCTGTACAGGTATAGTGTTTTGTTCAGTAGGGGTATAGTGTTTTTTCAGTACAGTTATAGTGTTATGTTCAGTACAGTTATAGTGTGTTTTTTCAGTACAGTTATAGTGTTTTGTTCAGTACAGGTATAGTGTTTTTTCAGTACAGTTATAGTGTTTTGTTCAGTACAGGTATAGTGTTTTGTTCAGTAGGGGTATAGTGTTTTTTCAGTACAGTTATAGTGTTATGTTCAGTACAGTTATAGTGTGTTTTTTCAGTACAGTTATAGTGTTTTGTTCAGTACAGGTATAGTGTATTGTTCAGTATAGGTATAGTGTATTGTTCAGTACAGGTATAGTGTTTTGTTCAGTATAGGTATAGTGTTATGTTCAGTACAGGTATAGTGTATTGTTCAGTACAGGTATAGTGTATTGTTCAGTACAGGTATAGTGTGTTTTTTCAGTACAGTTATAGTGTTTTGTTCAGTAGGGGTATAGTGTTTTTTCAGTACAGTTATAGTGTTATGTTCAGTACAGTTATAGTGTGTTTTTTCAGTACAGTTATAGTGTTTTGTTCTGTACAGGTATAGTGTTTTGTTCAGTAGGGGTATAGTGTTTTTTCAGTACAGTTATAGTGTTATGTTCAGTACAGTTATAGTGTGTTTTTTCAGTACAGTTATAGTGTTTTGTTCAGTACAGGTATAGTGTTTTTTCAGTACAGTTATAGTGTTTTGTTCAGTACAGGTATAGTGTTTTGTTCAGTAGGGGTATAGTGTTTTTTCAGTACAGTTATAGTGTTATGTTCAGTACAGTTATAGTGTGTTTTTTCAGTACAGTTATAGTGTTTTGTTCAGTACAGGCATAGTGTTTTTTCAGTACAGGTATAGTGTTTTTTTCAGTACAGGGATAGTGTTTTGTTCAGTACAGGGATAGTGTTTTTTTCAGTACAGTTTTAGTGTCTTGTTCAGTACAGGTATAGTGTTTTGTTCAGTACAGGTATAGTGCTTTGTTCAGTACAGGTATAGTGTTTTCTTCAGTAGAGGTATAGTGTTTTGTTCAGTACAGGTATAGTGTTATGTTCAGTACAGGTATAGTGTTATGTTCAGTACAGGTATAGTGTTATGTTCAGTACAGGTATAGTGTCTTGTTCAGTACAGGTATAGTGTTATGTTCAGTACAGGTATAGTGTTTTGTTCAGTACAGGTATAGTGTTATGTTCATTACAGGTATAGTGTTATGTTCAGTACAGGTATAGTGTTATGTTCAGTACAGGTATAGTGTCTTGTTCAGTACAGGTATAGTGTTATGTTCAGTAGAGGTATAGTGTCTTGTTCAGTACAGGTATAGTGTTATGTTCAGTACAGGTATAGTGTATTGTTCAGTACAGGTATAGTGTATTGTTCAGTAGAGGTATAGTGTTTTGTTCAGTAGAGGTATAGTGTTTTGTTCAGTACAGGTATAGTGTTTTGTTCAGTACAGGTATAGTGTTTTGTTCAGTAGAGGTATAGTGTTTTGTTCAGTACAGGTATAGTGTTTTTATCAGTACAGGTATAGTGTTTTGTTCAGTACAGGCATAGTGTTTTGTTCAGTACAGGTATAGTGTATTGTTCAGTAGAGGTATAGTGTTATGTTCAGTACAGGTATAGTGTTTTTATCAGTACAGGTATAGTGTTTTGTTCAGTACAGGCATAGTGTTATGATCAGTATAGGTATAGTGTTTTGTTCAGTAGAGTTATGGTGTTATGTTCAGTACAGGTATAGTGTTATGTTCAGTACAGGTATAGTGTTTTTATCAGTACAGGTATAGTGTTTTGTTCAGTACAGGTATAGTGTTATGATCAGTATAGGTATAGTGTTTTGTTCAGTAGAGTTATGGTGTTATGTTCAGTACAGGTATAGTGTTATGTTCAGTACAGGTATAGTGTTATGTTCAGTACAGGTATAGTGTTTTTATCAGTACAGGTATAGTGTTTTGTTCAGTACAGGCATAGTGTTTTCTTCAGTACAGGTATAGTGTTTTGTTCAGTACAGGCATAGTGTTTTCTTCAGTACAGGTATAGTGTATTGTTCAGTAGAGGTATAGTGTTTTGTTCAGTACAAGTATAGTGTTTTGTTCAGTAGAGGTATAGTGTTTTTATCAGTACAAGTATAGTGTTATGTTCAGTACAGGTATAGTGCTTTGTTCATTACAGTTATAGTGTTTGGCTCTGTTTAGGAATAGTGTCTTGCCTGACCTCAGCTGTGGGGTTCGACCTGAGGACACAGGGAGGGATACGTCTTCTACTTGCAAAGTTGCTACTCAGTGGGCCTTTCAACAAATTAACAAACAGTAAATGAGGCAGCCTGGTCTACCTGTTGGCGCTGGAGCCGCTGGTCTGGCCGGAGACCTCCGAGTTGAAGCTTGTCCAGCCGTAGTTACCGGCAGCTTTCAGACTGGCCAGCCGGGGGTCAAGCGGGGCCGCTGTAGTCGCACTGAAATAGGACACAGGTTCATAGGAAAATAGTATCCATGTTATTTAGGTGAAATCAAGCATTTGTGTTGGCAATTTATTATGACTTAGCTATTAAAAAAGTATGAAATATCACAAATTAGATGGTTAGATGTCATTAAATAGCTACAATGTCAGACTTGAAAATTGATTATCAATTACAATAAATAATTTAGAAATGAATTTAGTTATTTGATTAACAAATGATGCTTTTGAATATCAAGAATTCATTTTTAAGACATCAGTTATTGAAATTCTTAAAACAATCACTGTTGCCTTGTTATAGGAAATAAACAGTGAAATGGACATTCATAACTTCGACGTTAACAAAATGTTATATTTCCAAATGAATGTTTTACATATTGGTCAAACAGGACTTGGTCCTCCCAGTAGTACAGACTTGGACATAGTCAAACCTGTACAAGAAATCCATCAGGAAAACGTTCCCAAATGTCACCTACATCGTCAACCTCGCCACAATAGTCAGTCTTACACCACACACACACACACACACACACACACGCGCACACGCACACCCACACCCACACCCACACACACACACCCACACCCACACACACACACAGGCAGACAGACAGACACACACACAGACAGACAGACACACACACAGGCAGACAGACACACACACACACACACACACACACACACACACACACACACACACACACACACACACACACACACACACAGGCAGACAGACAGACACACACACACACACACACACACACACACACAGGCAGACACACACACACACACACACACACACAGACACACACAGACACAGACAGACAGACAGACACACACACACACACACACACACACCTCAATTTCTGATGGGGAGGCTGAGATATACTGGTCCAGAAGACAACAACTTAAAACTTGTTACATTTCAGTAGCCAGAGAGAAAGTCACGTACCTGACTGTGTTGGGGACGGCTGACAATGTGTTGGCTGAAATCGACAAGAAGCTCTCCGTCAGGTGCAAAATAGGAAATGTCTATAAGTTGAAGAGTTCATCTACCTGTTAAATATGTGCTGACTAACTCGTGGTTGTCAACAGCCATGCTTCACGAGATGTTATCTCCCTTGCTTGTTTCACCCCGTACAGTTGAAGTCAACATCCATATATCCTACGCTCACTCTGCATTCATTCTTTTTTTTCTGTTGTCTATGTAAACACCACAAGCCCCGGGGAAGTGAATTCATTCATGTATGCTAGACATGCTTGACGAAGAACTCTACAAATGATATCATTCTTTTTGCAGAAAAATAAAAGCTATTTAAAGTCATTCAGAAAAGACACACTTGATTTAAACTTTCACAGCACACATTAGAGGAGTGTTTTCAGACATGCTTTTGATAACATAGAGGGCACATGAAGCGAGACACTGCACCCCACAGCCCGGAATACATGGCCTGGAGTGACCTGGAGATGGGACAGGGGTCAGGGGTCAGGGGTCAGGGGTCAGGGAGGTTTTCTCAACAAGGGAAGCTGGTGGTAAATCAAGCTCAGGATGATGGTCAGATTTTGTTCTAAAGATGTTGTCATTGGCTTAATTCTAGAGTGGCACAGACCTCATAACTGTCGGTATAGTTCTTATCAGAGCGGCCCACACGGTACATGTGCAAAGCAGGTAATAGCCCCAACTCTCAAAGTATTGATCTGCGAACCAGCACTAGACTGGGTTGAGTCAAGTGAATTCTCAGTCCAGGTGTACTCATACATTTAATAAATCCTAGTGTTACACCACACTTGAGGTCAAATAGAAGCTGGAATGGAGGCTTCAGTGATAAGTATAGATCATGGCCCTACAGAGGCTGGGAACAAATTATCGGAATAGCAAAATAATGAACATATCTCAGTTCTCCCATTTGGTGATCATCTGTGGCTGGCTTCTTGACAGAAGTCTGCCTAATTATAGAGATTATTACAGGCAGGAGCATGGTGGTGGGCTTGTGCTGAGGAGGAGCTGCAGTTTATGATATCTATAACCCCGTCGTGACCAGCTTATCTTCCATGACCAGCTTATCTTCCCTGCATAATCTGTGTACCCTGATCCCCCCCCCCCCCCCCCCCCACACACACACACCAGGAAGTAGTGGTGGTGTCAGGGCAGTTCCTGTAACCTGGTTATATGACACATCACACAAGCTGACCCCAGCCAATCACATCAGTTAAGTCTACTGGACCCTTGGAGGTCACCTGCTCTGTAACTTTAGGTCTGGATGATCAAACACCTTCAAAATCTGTAGGTAGGTTTTGAAAATCGTCCATTATTGTAAGTTTGATCAATATGTCCAAGCAGTAGCAGGATAGCATGAAAAGTAAATCCCGGTTTAATGAAGACAAAATGGCATTTTAAATATGGCACACACATACATGCACACACTTATGTTGTCTACTTGTGTTACAAGAGACCTACTCACTTCTCCATCAAGTAGGTGGTATCCAAGGGAATGCTTTTGAACATGCAGCATCACTTATGGTGGACTGAATGGTTCATGGTGCATAAAAGGGATCGGGTGAATCTACTGATGGTGTTTACCTGGTGTTTACCATGTGTTTACCATTTACAGTCTCTAATTGGCTCCCACAGGAGATATGCTTGGTTGAGATCAAGCGATACCTACATTGTACATATTGCTGCAATGAAATTGCATCACAATGCTTTGCAGACCATTGTGACATCGTTGGTTACCATGACATCACAATCAAATGACATCACTAATAGCTCTGCTACTGAAGCTCTTAGCAGTACTTTTTACACTTAAAGCCCCCATTACACTATCAAAAACTTTTATCACAAACTCGGTTATAGAAAACTTTGACCAAGTTTTCTTGGTCCAAGTTGAGCTGCTTACACTTATCAAAGTTTTTGACAGGCTGTCAAAGTATTGGTGGGAATTATCTTGCCAAGATGGATGCTACTGACGAAGAATGTTTTGCTGTTGTCATATGTTTTTTGTGTATTGCCATGTTGTGACGGCAGCGTCGGGGAGGCAAAGGCATATTTGGTCCCGAGAATGGCTGCTCGTTCTTGAACCAAATCAATTAATTCTTCCAACATCTCATCAGTCCAAAATAGTGGGCTTGACTTGACTCTATGCACTTTCGGTTGAAAAGGGGTAAATGCTCCTTGCATTCGGATTGGCTAAATGAAATCAACATCATCAAACTTTGATCAAGAGAAATAGGATCGGTTTCTATTCAATCAAAGTCCACCAAAAAACATGTTATAAAATAAAAAAACTTGGTCAAAATGGACCAAGTTTTTTATCAAAGTTTTTGAGAGTGTAACAGGGGCTTAAGACACTGCTTATTACTGTCTACAAACTGAAAAAGGTGGAAGAATGATGTTGGATGATATACCAAAAGACACGAGGGTGAGATTCTCTATGTAACTACCATGTATTTACAGAATAAGACTTAAACAAATGACCAAAATATGTTTGCAAAAGAGACCAAACTATGATTTTTATGTTGCTACCATTGTTACATATGACTGGGATACTGTGTGTCATTAAATCATTACAGGGAGCATAGTTGCAGAGTAAAGATTAAGTAAGAATAAAAGAAAATCACCATTATAAACAGTGTTACACACATGCCAGACTTACTGCTTGTTAAAGTACATTGTACCTACATGAACACTACAACTGACAAATGGAAATAATAACATTTTCAATATGGCCGCTATGGCAGCCATGGATAAATAAAGATTGTGAGAAGTATTTAATCATCCTAACATTACTCACACAATATTCTGACTTCATACGTAATGTGGTTTTAGAAGTAATGTTACAATACTGGGATTAGTAGAATAAATATATGTCATAAGATCAAAATGACAGTTTCAAAATAGCCATCGGTCTACATACACCCGCTATCCACTAGAATCTTCTGCCAGCTGTACACACTCAGATCCATGGTGGCCGAGGTTGGAGCTGCTCCATGCTACAGCACTGACAGGCAGGTCCACACAGGTAGGGAGATACGAAGCCTTATCTCACACTATCAGTGACTGCACTCAGCAACATTTTATAACTCTGTTTTCTATATCAGGCAAATTCCAAGGAAAGCCCATGTCCAAAGTCTCCGGCAGATTCTTCACTAAGCTGTTCCCTGGCACTGACAACACTCCGGCCCTCATGTACAGGTTGGGGAAACAGTTTTTTTAACGATACCGGATTAAATATGATTGTATTGTCAAGTCAGCTCACACTAGATGTAAACTACTGAGGTTGTTTTTTAGGATTGATTTATGCCACTGTGAGACAGCGGAAGTTTTCGACATACTTCATATGTTTGGTTGAAAATAACCCTGCACTGTTAAGAAGCTTATCTGTAAATGAGTAGAGTGAAATGTCTGGGCTTGGCTATCGACACAACAGTAATGAGTATAAGGACTGGGACGATTACAGCCACTTCCTGCTTAACACAGGACTGGAGGACAGGGAGGGACAGGGAGGGACAGGGAGGGACAGGGAGGGATAGGGAGGATCAGGGAGAGACAGGGAGGGACAGGGAGGGATAGGGAGGGTCAGGGAGGGACAGGGAGGGACAGGGAGGGATAGGGAGGGTCAGGGAGAGACAGGGAGGGACAGGGAGGGACAGGGATGGTCAGGGAGAGACAGGGAGAGACAGGGAGGGACAGGGAGGGATAGGGAGGGTCAGGGAGGGACAGGGAGGGACAGGGAGGGGACAGGGAAAGACAGGGAGGTACAGGGAGGGACAGGGAGGGACAGGGAGGGACAGGGAGAGACAGGGAGGGACAGGGAGAGACAGGGAGGGACAGGGAGGGACAGGGAGGGCAGTGGGCACTGCAGCCTCTTATGTTGGCATCAGGATTCAGACAGGCATGATGTGTGAAAGATTTTCTGAGTATTTCCTGCTGTAATTGTGATCTTGGTGTGATATTGAGGAATGGTCTGGTCACTTTATTCCAAATTATTCAGATTTGTTTGTTTGTTTGTTTGTTGTTAAACGCCGCACTCAGCAATATTCCAACTATATGACAGTGGTCTGTAAATCATCGAGTCTGGACCAGACAATCCAGTGATTGACATCATGCGCATCGATCCACGCAATCGGGATACAATGAAATATATCAACCAAGTAAGTGAGCCTGACCACCCAATCCCGTTAGTCGCCTCTTAAGGCAAGCACGGATTGCTGAAGACCTATTCTAACACGGATCAAAAGTTATTCAGAGCACAGCTTTACGTCTGAGCACAACACTTATTATACTGTTAAGGCCAACAGGAGTATGCTCTGTACAACAGCATCTACAGCACAGGACACTGAAGACTCATGCTTAGTCTCTGAAACTTTAATTGAAAAGGAGCCCCAGTGAGATGGGAAATTCAGAACCTGAGGAAAATCTAGACTTGCTTCATTTAGAGCTTTTGCATTACAGTAAGAGCTGGGCGGAAGGGAAAATAACCTGGTGCAGGGACTGTGAGACAGGCTAAGGAGACTTCTCAGTACAGCAGGCACCAACAGGGTTGTGTGCTACAAACAACTGAGATGAGGAGACAGCAAGCTACATTCATCCCATCATCATCACATCACCCTCGGTCTAATGGACACAGCCTCTGCTCGGAAAGCAGAAGGTTGGTGGGGGTTCGATCCCATTGCTGTGTCACGGCAAAAGACATTATAAGATGGTACTTGTTGCCTGGTGCTCGTCATCAATAGGATAAAACAAGGGTGGTTTGGCTCAGAGTCAGAATACTGTGTCTGAGTAGGGTAGACATGTTCAGCTAGGGCATGGCATTAGTCCAGACACGTGCACACAAACACAGACACAGACACACACACACACACACTAATACAACTTATATGGTTATGGCAACCTGTCAGTGTCATTGTCAGGACAATCACAGTATGACCCCGAGTGGTTCAAGGAGTTGAGACACAGACGCCGCCCGGGGCTGAGGGTGAACTGTAACAATGATATGCAGCCATCATGGGCTGGTCAAGTGGCAGAGCTCTGTGGAAGGGTGTGGTGTTGATGAATAATTTACTTGGCATGAAGAGATACGTTTGTTATCTGATAAGCATGAGGAGGATGTGGAGATTGTCAAGTACCTGTAAACAAGACCACACTAGATCCTGATACAGTGTGACAATGACACGTGAGACAATGGAGGGACACATTGACCAACAGGTAAGACAATGGAGGGACACAATGACCAACAGGTAAGACAATGGAGGGACACATTGACCAACAGGTAAGACAATGGAGGGACACAATGACCAACAGGTAAGACAATGGAGGGACACAATGACCAACAGGTAAGACAATGGACACAATGACCAACAGGTAGGATAGTGGACACAATGACCAACAGGTAGGATAGTGGACACAATGACCAACAGGTAGGATAGTGGACACAATGATCAACAGGTAAGACAATGAAGGGACACAATGACCAACAGGTAGGATAGTGGACACAATGACCAACAGGTAGGATAGTGGACACAATGACCAACAGGTAAGACCATGGAAGGACACAATGACCAACAGGTAAGACAATGGAGGGACACAATGACCTACAGGTAAGACAATGGAGGAATACAATGACCAACAGGTAAGACAATGGAAGGACACAATGACCTACAGGTAAGACAATGGAAGGACACGATGACCTACAGGTAAGACAATGGAGGGACACAATGACCTACAGGTAAGACAATGGAGGGACACAATGACCTACAGGTAAGACAATGGAGGGCCACAATGACCAACAGGTAAGACAATGGAGGGACACAATGACCAACAGGTAAGACAATGGAGGGACACAATGACCAACAGGTAAGACAATGGAGGGACACAATGACCAACAGGTAAGACCAACAAGTAAGGGTAGTACACTGTTCACATCAAGCTCATCTCCAGAGTTATCAGGCAGCATTGAAAATATACATGTTGACAATGCTTTATTATGGTTACTGTATATGTGTTTATAAGCTTTCATCTTATCTTCTGTCTGTCATGTCAAGATGTCTACACCTTCTGAACACACACACAACTCAAGGGAGATAATTCATCCAGGAATAGGACCCACAAAACTTTCTGATATTTGCCATTTGATCCAGATCTTCTCGGGTCAACTCAGAAAGCCATGACATCTCTGTTATATTAACTATGTATTCTCATGTATACTGAGAAGAAATGATTTCACGGTGGCAGGACTTGGCGATAACGTCGCTGATCAACAGTCCTGTTACAGTCATCTCATGAGGATGGTGTAAGTTTTAACTGGCTTCAGTTAACTTTTCCAGTTTTCAGATGTTGGCACAAAGGTGTAAAACATGTCATGTTTTCATTACTTTCATGGGAACATGGACACAATCTGGCACAAGATACTAGTCATGTTAGCATGGTTAGTAGGCTAAAAATTTAAAGTTGATTTAATTAACACAGAGTTTCCACAGAACAGTCACACACACATAATGTCAGTTCAATTAACACAAAGTTTCCACAGAACAGTCACACACACATAATGTCAGTTCAATTAACACATAGTTCCCACAGAACAGTCACACACACATAATGTCAGTTCAATTAACACAGAGTTTCCACAGAACAGTCACACACACATAAAGTTGATTTAATTAACACATAGTTCCCACAGAACAGTCACACACACATAAAGTCAGTTCAATTAACACAAAGTTCCCACAGAACAGTCACACACACATAAAGTTGATTTAATTAACACATAGTTCCCACAGAACAGTCACACACACATAAAGTTGATTTAATTAACACATAGTTCCCACAGAACAGTCACACACACATAAAGTCAATTCAATTAACACAAAGTTTCCACAGAACAGTCACACACACATAAAGTTGATTTAATTAACACATAGTTCCCACAGAACAGTCCCACACACATAAAGTCAATTCAATTAACACAAAGTTTCCACAGAACAGTCACACACACATAAAGTTGATTTAATTAACACATAGTTCCCACAGAACAGTCACACACACATAAAGTCAATTCAATTAACACAAAGTTTCCACAGAACAGTCACACACACATAAAGTTGATTTAATTAACACATAGTTCCCACAGAACAGTCACACACACATAAAGTCAATTCAATTAACACAAAGTTTCCACAGAACAGTCACACACACATAATGTCAGTTCAATTAACACAAAGTTTCCACAGAACAGTCACACACACATAAAGTTGATTTAATTAACACATAGTTCCCACAGAACAGTCACACACACATAAAGTCAATTCAATTAACACAAAGTTTCCACAGAACAGTCACACACACATAAAGTTGATTTAATTAACACATAGTTCCCACAGAACAGTCACACACACATAAAGTCAATTCAATTAACACAAAGTTTCCACAGAACGGTCCCACACACATAAAGTTGATTTAATTAACACAAAGTTCCACAGAACAGTTCCACACACATTCTGTTATAGGCAAATATTCCCACTTCAAAGAGATTGTATTAATATGTGTTGTGAGTATACATTGTCAAACTATGTCCATGGAAACCCTCTCTATCAGGACAGTGTCTAGCTGTGTCCATAGAAACCCTCTCTATCTGGACAGTACCTAGTTGTGTCCACAGAAACCCTTTCTATCTGGACAGTGCTTAGCTGTGTCCACAGAAACCCCCTCTATCTGGACAGTGCTTAGTTATGTCCATGGCAACCCTCTCCATCTGGACAGTGCCTAACTGTGTCCATGGCAACCCTCTCTTTCTGGACAATGGACCGAGATGATCTATAGATCTGGGGGATGTGTGGGGGGACGAGCGGAAGGGAAAGAGAGGTGAGTGAGAAGCTGAAGGGGAGATTCCCCTGGTGATGGGGGTGACTGGCTGAGGGGGAGATTCCCCTGGTGAAGGGGGTGACTGGCTACCCCCTGGACCCTGGAGATCAGCATGTATGTCCACTGTTACTGTTAATGTTAGAAACATCCGTGTTAGTGTACCAGGGTGAGATGTCAATAAGTCAACGGCACCTGCATAGTTCCCGTTCACCATGGCCTCCTCACACACCATGTTGCTGACACATACAGTGAAACCTTGCTAACTAAGACCTCGCTAACTCAAACCTCACTAACTCAGACCTTGCTAACTCAAACCTCACTAACTCAGACTTTGCTAACTCACACCTTGCTAACTCAAACCTCACTTTCTCAGACCTTGCTAACTCACACCTTGCTTACTAAAACCATTTCTAACTTAAACCTCACTAACTCAAATCTCACTAACTAAGACCTTGCTAACTCAAACCTCACTTTCTCAGACCTTGCTAACTCACACCTTGCTAACTCAAACCTCACTTTCTCAGACCTTGCTAACTCAAACCTTGCTTACTAAAACCATTTCTAACTTAAACCTCACTAATTCAAATCTCACTAACTAAGACCTTGCTAACTCAAACCTCACTTTCTCAGACCTTGCTAACTCACACCTTGCTTACTAAAACCATTTCTAACTTAAACCTCACTAACTCAAATCTCACTAACTAAGACCTTGCTAACTCAAACCTCACTTTCTCAGACCTTGCTAACTCACACCTTGCTAACTCAAACCTCACTTTCTCAGACCTTGCTAACTCAAACCTTGCTTACTAAAACCATTTCTAACTTAAACCTCACTAACTCAAATCTCACTAACTAAGACCTTGCTAACTCAAACCTCACTTTCTCAGACCTTGCTAACTCACACCTTGCTTACTAAAACCATTTCTAACTTAAACCTCACTAACTCAAATCTCACTAACTAAGACCTTGCTAACTCAAACCTCACTTTCTCAGACCTTGCTAACTCAAACCTTGCTTACTAAAACCATTTCTAACTTAAACCTCACTAACTCAAATCTCACTAACTAAGACCTTGCTAACTCAGACCTCCCCAACTAAAACCACGCTAACTAAAACCTCGCTAACTCTAATCTCACTCAATCAAACCTCGCTAACTCAACAATCTGTCTCTATTAATCCTTTAATCACCCTGATGAAGATGGATAAGGCAATATATCAGACGATGTGTTTTCCAGGTTCCAAATATCAAACTACATCTTAATTTTTACCCTGAATGAGCCGTTCCATCGCCTGGCGGACACTGATAGATTGGACACTTCTCTGATAAGCTAGCTCCACCTCACACTAATTACCAAGGACTTTGCTACAGCTTGGACATTGCACATATTTGTTTGCAGCGGATATTAGGATCAACAGCCATCTTGCTCAGGATGAGAACATATACTTTCCTGGTGTCCAAGACTTTGAATTGAGAGGTTTCACTGTATGGTGTAAACTGACAGATGTGAACAGGACAAACCATGATAATCTACGGGTTTCATCATCATCAAAACAATTAATTCAGTTAAGTTACACGGCCCCCGATTGCAGGTGTAATGAGGTGCTCTCAGGGATTTATCTCGACCTGCTTTGAGGACCTCCAGACCCAAGTCTGCAGCCTATGTCAGTACATATTCCCAAATTAGAATTAAACATTTCCCAATTCATGCTGCTATATCTACTGTTATGACTCTATAGAAGTGATTTGCAACACTCAAAATAGGGCCAGTATACAAGAGGAGGCCTTAATGCTTAGATTAACATTATTCAATGAAAGCATTGTTAAATTTGATGTGAAATACCTATGAATTTAGGAAAATAAGAACTTGAAAAAGGATCCCAATTTTGAACAAAATAATGATACTTCTCCAGTGTGCCCGCCAAGGGCACTTAGTTCAGAATCGTAGATAAATCCCTGGCCTTGTGCAAACTAGGTTAGTAGCAACATGGAATTAAACAGGACAAGGAAGTTAAAGGGGGAGTTCTCCTCTATACAAACCTGGAGAGAAACAACCTGAAGACAAAGTACTTCTTTAAGAAAACTGACAAACACGAGGACATAAACACTAGAAGTGGATTACAGCAATGAGTTGGTGGTATCAAGTACTTAGCCTCAGTGTCAAAGACTTTGAACATCGTCTTCTTAAGGAAATCTGCTGGTATATCGGCTTTTCACAAAATTTAAAAAATATATTCTAATAGCAAAGGTTACCTAAGAGTTGAAAGGCATGCTAGACAGAACACCAGTATGTAGCATATATATGTATATATCATGTGCAGTCAGTGTATAGACATAAACCCCTCATCCAGAAAGACAACCAACAGCGCCACCTACCTTCACTTCCAAGGGGGAGGTCATCCACAAAGGCGTCGTCATCAGCCTTTGTCCTGAAACATTTAACATTCTTACACTTATTCTGTCCCAGTGTCTAGTCCTGAAATATATCTGAACCGATTGGTCATTCGGACATTCTAGGGAATGTGATCTCTAAGTAATTTTGGTAAAACTCGGGAACATCCTAAAAGAGTAATCAAATTTTGTATTTTCATTCTGAGAAAGTCACCATGTTACCATGACAACTATGAGGATACTGCGACTGATGAGAACTTACATTTCTGGCAACGGTTCGTCCACTTTAGGACTCAGGCTCTCCATCAGCTCCGTCCAGCTCTTGACCCCTGTCCCCATCATATCTGTAATTGGAAGGTCAACAGTGAGTGAGTGAGTGAGTTTAATGACATTTGAACAGTATTTCAATGTTTTCATGGCATACCAGCTGGTAGGGCAGGGAAGCTTGAAGTGATGTAAACATTAATACTTTGGTGAAACCCACAAGCACCATGATGGGAACCAGGATATGAACCTGTGATCATAGGATGCTGTTTCAACTAAGGGACATAACTCTCCACAGACACCCTTGGAAAGGGTCACCTGTGTCCCAGGGATAGGAGTGAGTGAGTGAGTGATTGAGCAGAGTTTTATGCTGTTTTCAGCAAAATTCCAGCAATATCACGACTGGGGACACCAGAAATGAGCTTCACACATTGTACCCATTTGGGGAATCAAACCCGGGTCATCAGCGTGACGAGCAAACACTTTAATCACTATGCAACACCACCACCTTTGGGGATAGTTATGAGATCTTGTAGCCGATCTCTACGCCAGTTACCTGATACAGATGGGGCCGACCTCTGACCTGCTCTAGATGGGGCTGACCTCTGACCTGGGCCTGCTGGTTTTGCAGCCCCATAGGGCCCGCCTGCTGTTCCTCCACCTTCCTTCATCGCTGCTTCGTGAGCCGCGCCCTCGACAGACACGCTCCGATCAACAGCCCGCTTCACTGCCATCGCATCACCATGGCAGACATCTTGGATCTCACAATCTCTGTTTCCATCTGTCACAAAGTCTGGGAGGTCTTCATCACTGCAGCAGGGCACTGGGACAGTTTCATCTTCTCGCGCTGCAACTCCTCGGCGACGTATAAAACGGAATCCTGAGAAATTTTGTTGAAAATGTCGCACTTGTGCTCGTAAGTAATCCCGTTTGTTTAACAAAGCCTTGACAAGTCGTCTGGAGTTGGAAGGTGTATTAGGCTCTCCAATTGGCTGTTCTGATTCAAGATCTGAAGTACCAGGCTCCTTGATTGGTTGGTCTACATCCAAATCAGTTACAGCCTCTCTTTGGATGTTCTTGTTTCGATCAAAGTTGGCAGTTTCTTCAAAGTCTGGAAAACAAATAGCAACATGGAAATACATATTATACTATAAGAACAGCATATTGTACATTAAACCGTTATGTCAATTGCAGAAATAAACAATAGCATATATAGCAACATATTTTGATCTACAATTTTAACACTTCATAAGTGGAAGATCTGGTAATCATATCGTTTGACTCTAAACTCGCACACCTGCCTTGAACCTAATGTTTTGGTTGGTAGTTAATCCTAGCAGAGCAACAAGTCAGTAGGTGATCCTCATGGTAAGCGCAGCTGGTTCAGGAAGGCAGGCTGGCGTCTTGAGTCCAGTGACAACCATTGATGCTTGACCTGCTCTCAGCTGCACTACACCAGCATCTTCTGACATCTTATATAGTCTTATCACATCACCTACACTGCAGCACTGATGGTACTCAATGTCTCAGAAATTTCAGTCTCTACCACGAAATTGTCCAGTTAACACTACAAAGATAAGAACGTGTACAACACACAAAGTATTACTGCAAAAGTGGTTCATTAAGCAAAGCAGGGAAATGGTTCCATGCTGCATCAAATGTTACTTCGGGGTAATAAGAAAATGCATTCTTGCAAAGCAATTACTGATTTTCTTGATTGATAGTTCTGGCATTCGTACAGGTAAGGTCAAGGCTGAAGCAAATGGTACTGTTGCTGTGAACATTTAGCACACAGTGTCAGCCATTTGTAGTGTAACTGCAGGAACAGCATGTGAAGAGTCACATATACAAGGTTTTCAAAACTGATGATATAACACATATTTCTAATTCTAGTGGGATATACAGGTGCTAGAGGTGGGATGTCCATGTTCTGGAGGAGGTGGGATGTACATGTTCTGGGGGGTAGGATATACATGTTCTGGAGGTGGATATACATGTTCTGGAGGAGATGGGGTATACATGTTTTGGAGAAGGTGGGACATACATGTTCTGGAGGTGGATATACATGTTCTGGAGGAGATGGGGTATACATGTTTTGGAGAAGGTGGGACATACATGTTCTGGAGGTGGATATACATGTTCTGGAGGAGATGGGGTATACATGTTTTGGAGAAGGTGGGACATACATGTTCTGGAGGTGGATATACATGTTCTGGAGGAGATGGGGTATACATGTTTTGGAGAAGGTGGGACATACATGTTCTGGAGGTGGATATACATGTTCTGGAGAAGGTGGGACATACATGTTCTGGAGGTGGATATACATGTTCTGGAGGAGGTGGATATACATGTTCTGGAGGAGGTGGGACATACATGTTCTGGAGGTGGATATACATGTTCTGGAGGAGATGGGGTATACATGTTTTGGAGAAGGTGGGATATACATGTTCTGGAGGTGGATATACATGTTCTGGAGGAGATGGGGTATACATGTTTTGGAGAAGGTGGGACATACATGTTCTGGAGGTGGATATACATGTTCTGGAGGAGATGGGGTATACATGTTTTGGAGAAGGTGGGACATACATGTTCTGGAGGTGGATATACATGTTTTGGAGGAGGTGGGACATACATGTTCTGGAGGTGGATATACATGTTCTGGAGGAGATGGGGTATACATGTTTTGGAGAAGGTGGGACATACATGTTCTGGAGGTGGATATACATGTTCTGGAGGAGATGGGGTATACATGTTTTGGAGAAGGTGGGACATACATGTTCTGGAGGTGGATATACATGTTCTGGAGGAGATGGGGTATACATGTTTTGGAGAAGGTGGGACATACATGTTCTGGAGGTGGATATACATGTTCTGGAGGAGATGGGGTATACATGTTTTGGAGAAGGTGGGACATACATGTTCTGGAGGTGGATATACATGTTCTGGAGGAGATGGGGTATACATGTTTTGGAGAAGGTGGGACATACATGTTCTGGAGGTGGATATACATGTTCTGGAGGAGATGGGGTATACATGTTTTGGAGAAGGTGGGACATACATGTTCTGGAGGTGGATATACATGTTCTGGAGGAGATGGGGTATACATGTTTTGGAGAAGGTGGGACATACATGTTCTGGAGGTGGATATACATGTTCTGGAGAAAGTGGGACATACATGTTTTGGAGAAGGTGGGACATACATGTTCTGGGGGTGGGAGATACATGTTCTGGGGGTGGGAGATACATGTTCTGGGGGTGGGACATACATGTTCTGGGGGTGGGACATACATGTTCTGGGGATGGGAGATACATGTTTTGGGGTGGGAGATACATGTTCTGGGGGTGGTATAGACATGTTCTGGGGATGGGATATACAGGTGCTGGAGGAGGTGGGATAAACAGATGTGGTAGGTTTCGGATAGACAGGATGCAGAGAACAAATAAAGGTGACCAAAAAGAAGATACATGGAAGTTGGTATCCACCATTGTGTCCCCGACACAGTACAAACTCCACTGACTACACATTTACAAATGATATGCTATTCCATGAACACAATTTGTCAAACATGACACAGCTTGTGTTGTCACGCCTGACACTGCCTTCAGGTCTGTACTTACACACCAACAAGCAGAGATGGGTCACCCTGAGTGTTCCCTTGCAACACATACATGTGATAGATATGCCTAAAAACTGCATGTGTAAGGGCTATGCCTAAAAACTGCATGTGTTATGGATATGCCTAAAACTGCATGTGTTATGGATATAGCTAAAAACTGGATGTGTGATGGATATAGCTAAAAACTGCATGTGTAATGGATATAGCTAAACACTGCATGTGTAATGGATATAGCTAAAAACTGCATGTGTAATGGATATACCTAAAACAGCATGTGTAATGGATATACCTAAAAACAGCATGTGTAATGGATATACATGTAGCTAAACAACTACAAGTTGCTTCATATCAGAGGCAATTCACACAACAGAACTTTTTTGTCTCTACTGCTGTTATCACGGTCATAAAGCATTAACCTACCTACAATAGATCCCCCCTGCTGCCAGGACACACAAGAGCAGCCAACCCCCACCCACGACACACACACACCACCACACACACCTCCTTCCTCCGTGTGCACCAGCAACACCTCACATGAGTTCATCAACAACAAAACACTTTCTACTTGTGTGAATTTTTTCAATCATTACCTTCTACTCAGGAAGTGCAGCTGTCAAAATGGCTAATAAATCAACGAACAATATATCAATAAAGTAATAAATTAGTCTGAAATTGAAACAAAAGATGGATAATAAAACACTAAGATGCAACAAGTGCTTATCATTCTGTTCCATTCTCAGACACCTCTCAGTCACTAAGCTCCACAAATATGTAAGCAATAAGTATTTGAGAAAAACAATATCTTTCCCACATTATTTACCAATGCTAAGGGAAGAAGCTGAATATCACAAAAGTTGAATATCCTGAGAACATCCCTGCTCACCTGACAGGATGACCGAGAGAGTCCCTGGTCATCTGACAGGACAACTGTGAGAGTCCCTGGTCCCTGACAGGACGACCCAGAGAGTCTCTGGTCCCTGACAGGACAACTGAGAACGTCCCTGGTCCCTGACAGGATGACCCAGAGAGTCCCTGGTCCCTGACAGGACGACCAAGAGAGTCCCTGGTCCCTGACAGGACGACCCAGAGAGTACCTGGTCATCTGACAGGACGACCCAGAGAGTCCCTGGTCACCTGTCAGGATGACTGAGAGAGTCCCTGGTCACCTGACAGGACAACTGTGAGAGTCTCTGGTCCCTGACAGGACGACTGAGAGAGTCCCTGGTCACCTGACAGGACAACTGAGAGAGTCCTTGGTCATCTGACAGGACAACTGTGAGAGTCTCTGGTCCCTGACAGGACGACTGAGAGAGTCCCTGATCACCTGACAGCACAACTGAGAACGTCCCTGGTCCCCAACAGGACAACTGAGAGAGTCCCTGGTCACCTGACAGGATGACTGAGAGAGTCCCTGGTCACCTGACAGGACGACCCAGAGAGTCCCTGGTCACCTGACAGGATGACTCAGAGAGTCCCTGGTCCCTGACAGGATGACTGAGAGAGTCCCTGGTCATCTGACAGGACAACTGTGAGAGTCTCTGGTCCCTGACAGGACGACTGAGAGAGTCCCTGGTCACCTGACAGCACAACTGAGAACGTCCCTGGTCCCCGACAGGACAACTGAGAGAGTCCCTGGTCACCTGACAGGAAGACTCAGAGAGTCCCTGGTCACCTGACAAGATGACCGAGAGAGTCCCTGGTCACCTGACAGGATGACCCAGAGAGTCCCTGGTCCCTGACAGGATGACTGAGAGAGTCCCTGGTCACCTGACAGGACAACTGAGAGAGTCCTTGGTCATCTGACAGGACGACCCAGAGAGTCCCTGGTCCCTGACAGGACGACCCAGAGAGTCCCTGGTCACCTGTCAGGATGACTGAGAGAGTCCCTGGTCACCTGACAGGATGACTGAGAGAGTCCCTGGTCACCTGACAGGATGACTGAGAGAGTCCTTGGTCATCTGACAGGACAACTGTGAGAGTCTCTGGTCCCTGACAGGACGACTGAGAGAGTCCCTGGTCACCTGACAGGATGACTGAGAGAGTCCCTGGTCACCTGACAGGACAACTGAGAGAGTCCCTGGTCCCTGACAAGATGACCCAGAGAGTCCCTGGTCCCTGACAAGATGACTGAGAGAGTTCCTGGTCCCTGACAGGACAACTGAGAGAGTCCCTGGTCCCTGACAGGATGACCCAGAGAGTCCCTGGTCACCTGACAGGATGACCCAGAGAGTCCCTGGTTCCTGACAGGATGACTGAGACAGTCCCTGGTCCCTGACAGGATGACCCAGAGAGTCCCTGGTCCCTGACAGGAAGACTCAGAGAGTCCCTGGTCACCTGACAAGATGACCGAGAGAGTCCCTGGTCACCTGACAGGATGGCTGAGAGAGTCCCTGGTCCCTGACAGGATGACTGAGAGAGTCCCTGGTCCCTGACAGGATGACTGAGAGAGTCCCTGGTCCCTGACAGGATGACTGAGAGAGTCCCTGGTCATCTGACAGGATGACTGAAAGAGTCCCTGGTCCCTGACAGGATGACTGAGAGAGTCCCTGGTCCCTGACAGGTTGACCCAGAGAGTCCCTGGTCCCTGACAGGACGACCCAGAGAGTCCCTGGTCCCTGACAGGACACCTGAGAGAGTCCCATGCTAGGAGGTGAACATATCCACTATTTTGCCAACCCCTATGGAACCCAGTGGAACAACTTTTATGGGTCCAACGCTACTAAACATAAATTGTGAAAGCAAGAGAATACCCACTCCAGATCATCCACAGAAACAGATTCCATTTGGCATGAAGGGAAAAACAGCTGTGAAAATTATCTGAATGGGCCACTGAAAATAATTTATGAACACACATATGGCCACAACCCATGACTATACCAAAAGATAGCAGGATCAGACTGCCATATCTCCCCTAATGAGAATCTAGTCTCGCCTCAGGCAAAACATTCCTCCAGTGTAATGACCCGCGGAATTGACTGCTGAAGCATGTATTCATACTCCCTGAACCAAGACATTATGACAACTATATGGCCATGAAAATATGTTATTTTAAAAAACCTTTTTGTGTGCCTGAGATTTCGAATTCTTATGGACCTCCTCTGTGGTCTATTAGATGGGGGGCGGTCCGGTAGCCTAGTGGTTAAAGTGTTCGCTTGTCACGTCAAAGACCCGGGTTCGATTCCCGACATGGGTACAATGTGTTAAGCCCATTTTCCAGTGTACCCCGCCATGATATTGCTGGAATATTGCTAAAAGCAGCGTAAAACCCATACTCACTCACTCACTCTATTACATGGGGCATTTGCCCAGAGAGCAGGAGGTTGGTGGTTTGATCCCCATGTCAAACCAAAAGTACATTAAAAGACAGTAATTGGTGCTAACCTGCCTGGCGCTCAGGCCAAAGCGATGCAGGTCTCAGACGTTTACCACTTTGGTGAACACCAAGAGCACCATGGATATGGTGCTGACAAACCTAGAACACAACCAGGGCAATCTACTTCCGTAACAACACACTTTTATAAGCCAGTATATGCCTTTTAAATACCATAGTGGTCACATTTAAAATCAGAACAAAGTTGCGGGTGAAATTGACTGGGATTAAACACGAGAAGTCACAGCATGTGATATGCCTTCATGTGGAAGTACATGACTGTATAAGAGATTTATTCCACCAAGATGTAGTTAAAGATATGTATTTCAGTGAAATAATAATCACACTTGTTTCGGACATTTTATCACTGTAAATAGCTGCAAGGTTGCTGATGTGGCATATGCAGTGATTACTAAATCACTTGTTTTTCCACACTTTCAAGAAAGTGACTCTTCTTGCGCAATCTCTCCATAGAAACTACACCAGATCTAGCTCCACCTCTGGGCCCTCAGTGAGGGGGGGAATAAGTAACCCCCCTCTTCCTAATCTCCCCCCCCCCCCCACACACACACACAACACAGGCCATGCAATTAGCCTTTTATTATTTATACTTCATATTTACAATACCACTGACATTGCAATATCCAAGTCACACAGACATCGTCGTCCCTGGTGATACGGACATGCTTGCATGTCATTGTGTTAATGTCATAGATTTCCTGCATGTCACACACACACCAGCTTGTCATGGAACATCAGATCAAACAGATCACTTACCCCATTTCTTCTTTTTGTGTCTTCTAAAAGACAAAAAATAACTTCCCCGCTTCTTCTTTTTATCCATTATCATACAACATGTACAGTTTCTTACAGCAAGCTGGGGGCAGTGTGGACACTGAGGAGTTCTTGTCCTATATCAATTGTTTGCTCAGCCTAATTCACAGAACGCGGTCACTGTGTGTAAGGCCAGGACCGCGTTGTTCACGTTCCAATTATTAATGTTATTTAGACATCTTATCCAGGTATTCAATGTCACGTGTGGCTTACACCAAATGCCCAACCATTATGTCCACTGGCTCCAGTGAAAGCAGAGTTACCTCCCTGCGTCCACTCCCCCACAGACTCAGTACTTGCTGTTAACAGTCATGCATGCTGTGTCCACTCCCCCACAGACTCAGTACTTGCTGTTAACAGTCATGCATGCTGTGTCCACTCCCCCACAGACTCAGTCCTTGCTGTTAACAGTCATGCATGCTGTGTCCACTCCCCCACAGACTCAGTACTTGCTGTTAACAGTCATGCAGACTCAGTACTTGCTGTTAACAGTCATGCATGCTGTGTCCACTCCTCCACAGACTCAGTACTTGCTGTTAACAGTCATGCATGCTGTGTCCACTCCACACACTCAGTACTTGCTGTTAACAGTCATGCATGCTGTGTCCACTCCTCCACAGACTCAGTACTTGCTGTTAACAGTCATGCATGCTGCGTCCACTCCCCCACAGACTCAGTACTTGCTGTTAACAGTCATGCATGCTGTGTCCACTCCACAGACTCAGTACTTGCTGTTAACAGTCATGCATGCTGTATCCACTCCTCCACAGACTCTGTACTTGCTGTTAACAGTCATGCATGTTGTGTTCAGCCCTCCCCCATAGACTCAGTACTTGCTGTTAACAGTCATGCATGCTGCGTCCACTCCCCCACAGACTCAGTACTTGCTGTTAACAGTCATGCATGCTGTGTCCACTCCACAGACTCAGTACTACCTGTTAACAGTCATGCATGCTGTGTCCACTCCTCCACAGACTCAGTACTTGCTGTTAACAGTCATGCATGCTGTGTCCACTGCATAGACTTAGCACTTGCTGTTAACAGTCATGCATGTTGCATCCAGCCCTCCCCCACAGACTTAGTACTTGCTGTTAACAGTCATGCATGCTGCATCCAACCCTCCTTCACAGACTCAGTACTTGCTGTTAACAGTCATGCATGCTGCATCCAGCCCTCCCCCATAGACTCAGTTCTTGCTGTTAACAGTCATGCATGTTGCATCCAGCCCTCCCCCACAGACTTAGTACTTGCTGTTAACAGTCATGCATGCTGCATCCAACCCTCCTTCACAGACTCAGTACTTGCTGTTAACAGTCATGCATGTTGTGTCCAGCCCTCCCCCACAGACTCAGTACTTGCTGTTAACAGTCATGCATGCTGTGTCCACTCCACAGACTCAGTACTAGCTATTAACAGTCATGCATGCTGCATCCAGCCCTCGTCCACAGAGCCTGGTATCAGTAAACCAGTTAACTTCTCAAGGATTTAACCAACATACCTCCAATCAAATAAGACTTGCTGATTGAACTCAAGAGGCAGTTGTGTCCTCAAACTAATAATTTGTAAAGTGTGTAGTTATCATTATTTTGGAGTCACTAATAGGTTTGTGTTTGAGGGTGACGGGCCTGGGGGCCTCGTATGGGGGAGGGGGGACTTGCATATATCTCAAAGGCTGCCTGGAACTGTACAATGTTTCAAAACTGTGATCAGTGATCTAACTGACACCATCTCAACAAACCACCCTAACTGTCAGAGACTTGAATCCAGGAACAATAAGCACGACCATCACAGCTACTACTATCAAACAGAGCACAGAGGGACACTGAGGTGGTTGACATCCCCCGTACAATGGCCGACCCTCACCAGGTTAATCCTTAATACTGTGAACAGATGTCCTCACTCTACCCACTCATGAATCACAGTGTAACAGGACACAAGGCAGTTTCATGTTGAAATAAGAACTTACCTCTCTGTTTAGAGAAAGAAATCAGTTTCGCATAACATGATGAAAATTAATTCATCTCACCCGTTGCATCGTAAAAGTTAAGAATAATGCATGTAAAAATGATTTAACCATTGATGACAATATAATAGGTTTTATATGAGATAAAAACCAATTTATCTCAGCAGTTTCATAGTAAAAGTAAGATATACACTGAAATAAGAGATATACCTCCACAGCTTCCAGATCATTCCCCAATATCTTCCAAGCGATAACCCTACTCCTCCCAGCATGGCGAAATGAGCCCAGTGAGCGTGTGTGAGTCAGCCGGCGACACACACCCCCCATCACAGATCCATAAATCCCCCGCCAGCCCGGTGACACTTACAGTCGTAGTACATACACTGCAATATTTACATACACATAAATCCTGGGATGTTTTTATAACATACTTGAGCAAGGACTAACCACTTTCAATTATCCCGACTGACTGGTTGGGACACACATCGTGATGACAGGGCCATATTATTGGTCACATGAACATGATCAAGACCATCTTGCTGGATACATCTGGACGTGCACTAGGGAGCCTTACATTGGAAATGAAACAAACAGTGACTGAATGTCCATGACTGTCCACGACTGTAACTGACTGACTTTAGGATTGCATCTCTGAAACTTTCTCCCACAACTCTCTCAAAATTTTCTTTCACAACCTTCACTCACAACTCCTCACACAACTATCTCACACAAATCTCTCTCACACAACTCTCTCTCTCATAACTCTCTCTCACACAACTCTCTCTCTCACACAACTCTCTCTCTCATAACTCTCTCACACAACTCTCTCTCTCACACAACTCTCTCACATAGCTCTCTCTCACAACTCTCTCTCTCACACAACTCTCACACACAACTCTCTCTCACACACAACTCTCTCACATAGCTCTCTCTCACAACTCTCTCTCACACAACTCTCTCTCTCACACAACTCTCACACACAACTCTCATAATTCTCTCTCACACAACTCTCTCACATAGCTCTCTCTCACAACTCTCTCACACAACTCTCTCACATAGCTCTCTCTCACAACTCTCTCTCACACAACCCTCTCTCTCACACAACTCTCACACACAACTCTCTCTCACACACAACTCTCTCACATAGCTCTCTCTCACAACTCTCTCTCACACAACTCTCTCTCTCACACAACTCTCACACACAACTCTCATAATTCTCTCTCACACAACTCTCACACATAGCTCTCTCTCACAACTCTCTCTCACAACTCTCTCAAACACAACTCTCAGTCAACTCTCACACAACTCTCTCACATAGCTCTCTCTCACAACTCTCTCACACAACTTTCTCCTACAACTTTCTCTCCCATCTTTCTCCCACAACTTTCTGTCAAAACTTTCTCACCACATCTTTATCATAATTAGACATATTTTTTTCAGACCAGTCAAATGTTTTTTTCTTGTATTTTACAGACAAACCTATCCTTAAAGACTTCATATTGTTTTGTTAAATGTTCAAGAAAGAGGACTTTCAGTTGAAAGTGACCCCTCAATGGGGTAATACTGCATTAAACTGCAAACTGAACCATCTCTAAATACCTGAACAAACAAATGAAATATGAAATTGGATACTTTTCCATGCTCCCAACAATACATGCTATTGAAATATTCCTGTAGACACAGTGAACAGTTCCTGCTAACAAGATTCCCCCAGATCTTCATCAATAATCTGACAGCTGTTCCCTACACCTCCATTCTGGCAGGCCAAATTAATTGTGAAAAATGCCATTGCCCCTCATTGCTGCCTTATAAATTGTCATTACAACCTATGCCAACAGAGGCCTCTGGTTGAAGCCAGTCATCGGAAAAAAACCCACCACAAGTGACCCATCTGACATGCTTTAGCCAAGTTGACAAACAAGCTCAACAAGAGTTGTCCCCACACAGCCACTGTGATGTAAACGCGTCTACATTGCCTGGGACAGTTTTACCTTTCTTGCAACATCAGTCACCTTTCTTCTTCATCCAGATCACAAGTGGTCAAAGTTCAGAGTGTCTGTTTGTTCAGTGAGATATGTCAACCCTCCAGACTTTGTGCCGTAGACAGTCGGCCACTTCTCCGATAAAACACACCCATCTCTTTCCACCCACTCACCGCACACTCGGGGTACCACGGAACAGTCAGGAACAAGATGTGTGCGTGTGTGGCTGCTTTTACTAGTCCGGACTTACGCTGGTTTTAGAGTGCAAGCCCATTGAGATACCATGCCACAGCTTAACATGGACAGCCCACTCATATACAGTATACTGTGAACTGACCAGTCCTTGTTTTATCAACAAATATAAAACAACAAGAATCATCTTTCAACATCTTTGGAGTAACGCTGACCGTCTCGGGATTGAAACACTGACATTCTGCCCCGTCCAGGCAGATGCTCTATATACCAGACCACCAAGGCTGGAATATGAAATCTCAGATTCTAAAAAAGGTTTCTTAAATGACATGCTTTCATTTCCATCACACACATATTTGTGCTGAGGACTCGGTTTAGGGAGTAAAATACATGTTTAAGAAGTCAATTCCCTGACCGAGTGTACATTGTCATTAGAGGAGATACTGCTTATAACATTTTCGGGTTTGATGTGTCTGGGAGCCGGCCACTGATCTTCCGCTCTCCGGTTCACCTGTTCCACCAGGGTGCTAGAGTCACGTGTCCAATATCTGGGAGATGTGCAGCTAGTATAAGAATAAACAGAACAGGGACTAATGAACAGAGTGTTGGATAGATTCTACTGTAGTCCCAAGCTTGGAGTAACATCTTGTCTCAGAAATGAACATATCTTACAGAAAAAAAACCCAACTGTCAAATTATCTTAATAAAAATACAGTAAAAAGGAGCCCAGAGACTCTCTTCATTTTCAGATACTGCAGTAATCAAGACTTGCCAAACGTTATAGACTTGCATGGGCTGTATTGGATATATTTGTATCAGGGTCTCCCAAGTTGACACTTCATGCACTGACCCCCGGAACCCACTGAATACAGTGACAAGGGAATTTATGATTCAGCAATCTGAAGTGGAGGAAGCAGCCACACGGCGACCTTCCAGGAAGATATCACTTGACAAAATACACCTCTCTGTAAATGCATTTCACTCTCCCAAACAGGCAGCATGTCTACTTCTCAAAACAAGCTGAAGAACACCCACGGCATGAAGGCTGTGTTGCAATACCCACCAGCCATGACAGATTAACTATAGTCAGACAAAAAATCAGGCGCTCTTTAACTTCTTTTGAGTTGTAAATAACAGGAACAACAAGAGTCATCAGAAGGATGACATATCCCCCCGGCAGCTGTCTGTAAAGTAACCACAAGTAAATGTGTAATTCTGTATGTAATGAGTCAAGAGTTGAATGTTCTTGAAGAAGCATACATTGTTTACCCACAAAAGATCCACCATGGTCGCATCCATATGAAATGGAAAGTAAAACAAATGTGTTTCTGTGGTTTTTTTTTATGCAAACAAATGACAAATTACAAGAAACAATAACTAAACAAGCCTATAGTCAATGAAGTCATCTATATCCCCCACCCACTTTAACACGTTATGGTCCCAAAGCAGGTAACTGACCCAACATTTCTCTTACCCCATGTCAAAATAGCTGCAATGGAAATTCTAAAATAAACAATTCTAAAACTCCTGAATATCAAATGACACCAGTTCAGTATGTGCTTTATATAAAGACATGCACTGTTTGGCAAGGAAATATTTAACAGTTTATTTGTCATACTCCATAAGTGAACCCACCCTATATCAAAACTTAAATCAAACTTGTTGCCATGGAAACGTAAAAAATAAAAATTTATAAAATTCCTAAATAGCAAAAGGCACCAGTTCAGTATGTGCCTGGTAGACATGCAAAGTTTTGTAAGAAAGTATTTAACTTTTTTTTAGTAACATTCTGGATATGAACACCACCCTTATAGAACAACAAAGGCACAACTTCACCACTTAAGAGATATAAATGCAAAATTTGATGAAAAAATATTTAACGGTTTTCGAGTTCTGCTCTGGATATGATTCAGACAGATGGACAGACAGATGGATGGACAGACGGACGGACAGACATGCCCATAGCTATATCCCCCCACATTATATGCCAGGGGGATAAAAAGCGATGACTTTGAAAATGCAGTTAAATGTGTCCTCACTTAAGAATTGACCTTCACTTTGTGTGAGTTCATTGGAGTATGAACCTTCATAGAGTGAGGGCCAAACTGTATGAACGTCGGAGCTTGCGACATACAATGTTTGGCCCTCACTGTATGAAGGTTCATACTCCAATGAACTCACACAAAGTGAAGGTCAATTCTTATAAATTTTTTATCACAATTTCTTTCCTCAAAGGATTTAGGCCAAGATCTAAACACAAT